GCAGGAGGCGGAGCAGGAGGCGGAGCAGGAGGCGGAGCAGGAGGCGGAGCAGGAGGCGGAGCAGGAGGCGGAGCAGGAGGCGGAGCAGGAGGCGGAGCAGGAGGCGGAGCAGGAGGCGGAGCAGGAGGCGGAGCAGGAGGCGGAGCAGGAGGCAGGAGGCGAAGCAGGAGGCGGAGCAGGAGGCGGAGCAGGAGGAGGAGCAGGAGCGCGGAGCAGGAGGCGGAGCAGGAGGCGGAGCAGGAGGCGGAGCAGGAGGCGAGAAGCAGGAGGCGGAGCAGGAGGCGGAGCAGGAGGCGGAGCAGGAGGCGGAGCAGGAGGCGGAGCAGGAGGCGGAGCAGGAGGCGGAGCAGGAGGCGGAGCAGGAGGCGGAGCAGGAGGCGGAGCAGGAGGCGGAGCAGGAGGCGGAGCAGGAGGCGGAGCAGGAGGCGGGCAGGAGGCGGAGCAGGAGGCGGAGCAGGAGGCGGAGCAGGAGGCGGAGCAGGAGGCGGAGCAGGAGGCGGAGCAGGAGGCGGAGCAGGAGGCGGAGCAGGAGGCGGAGCAGGAGGCGGAGCAGGAGGCGGAGCAGGAGGCGGAGCAGGAGGCGGAGCAGGAGGCGGAGCAGGAGGCGGAGCAGGAGGCGGAGCAGGAGGCGGAGCAGGAGGCGGAGAGGAGGCGGAGCAGGAGGCGGAGCAGGAGGCGGAGCAGGGGGCCGAGCAGGAGGCGGAGCAGGAGGCGGAGCAGGAGGCGGAGCAGGAGGCGGAGCAGGAGGCGGAGCAGGAGGCGGAGCAGGAGGCGGAGCAGGAGCGGCAGGAGGAGCAGGAGGCGGAGCAGGAGGCGGAGCAGGAGGCGGAGCAGGAGGCGGAGCAGGAGGCGGAGCAGGAGGCGGAGCAGGAGGCGGAGCAGGAGGCGGAGCAGGAGGCGGAGCAGGAGGCGGAGCAGGAGGCGGAGCAGGAGGCGGAGCAGGAGGCGGAGCAGGAGGCGGAGCAGGAGGCGGAGCAGGAGGCGGAGCAGGAGGGGAGCAGGAGGCGGAGCAGGAGGCGGAGCAGGAGGCGGAGCAGGAGGCGGAGCAGGAGGCGGAGCAGGAGGCGGAGCAGGAGGCGGAGCAGGAGGCGGAGCAGGAGGCGGAGCAGGAGGCGGAGCAGGAGCGGAGCAGGAGGCGGAGCAGGAGGCGGAGCAGGAGGCGGAGCAGGAGGCGGAGCAGGAGGCGGAGCAGGAGGCGGAGCAGGAGGCGGAGCAGGAGGCGGAGCAGGAGGCGGAGCAGGAGGCGGAGCAGGAGGCGGAGCAGGAGGCGGAGCAGGAGGCGGAGCAGGAGGCGGAGCAGAGCGAGCAGGAGGCGGAGCAGGAGGCGGAGCAGGAGGCGGAGCAGGAGGCGGAGCAGGAGGCGGAGCAGGAGGCGCAGGAGGCGGAGCAGGAGGCGGAGCAGGAGGCGGAGCAGGAGGCGGAGCAGGAGGCGGAGCAGGAGGCGGAGCAGGAGGCGGAGCAGGAGGCGGAGCAGGAGGCGGAGCAGGAGGCGGAGCAGGAGGCGGAGCAGGAGGCGGAGCAGGAGGCGGAGCAGGAGGCGGAGCAGGAGGCGGAGCAGGAGGCGGAGCAGGAGGCGGAGCAGGAGGCGGAGCAGGAGGCGGAGCAGGAGGCGGAGCAGGGCGAGCAGAGGCGGAGCAGGAGGCGGAGCAGGAGGCGGAGCAGGAGGCGGAGCAGGAGGCGGAGCAGGAGGCGGAGCAGGAGGCGGAGCAGGAGGCGGAGCAGGAGGCGGAGCAGGAGGCGGAGCAGGAGGCGGAGCAGGAGGCGGAGCAGGAGGCGGAGCAGGAGGCGGAGCAGGAGGCGGAGCAGGAGGCGGAGCAGGAGGCGGAGCAGGAGGCGGAGCAGGAGGCGGAGCAGGAGGCGGAGCAGGAGGCGGAGCAGGAGGCGGAGCAGGAGGCGGAGCAGGAGGCGGAGCAGGAGGCGGAGCAGGAGGCGGAGCAGGAGGCGGAGCAGGAGGCGGAGCAGGAGGCGGAGCAGGAGGCGGAGCAGGAGGCGGAGCAGGAGGCGGAGCAGGAGGCGGAGCAGGAGGCGGAGCAGGAGGCGGAGCAGGAGGCGGAGCAGGAGGCGGAGCAGGAGGCGGAGCAGGAGGCGGAGCAGGAGGCGGAGCAGGAGGCGGAGCAGGAGGCGGAGCAGGAGGCGGAGCAGGAGGCGGAGCAGGAGGCGGAGCAGGAGGCGGAGCAGGAGGCGGAGCAGGAGGCGGAGCAGGAGGCGGAGCAGGAGGCGGAGCAGGAGGCGGAGCAGGAGGCGGAGCAGGAGGCGGAGCAGGAGGCGGAGCAGGAGGCGGAGCAGGAGGCGGAGCAGGAGGCGGAGCAGGAGGCGGAGCAGGAGGCGGAGCAGGAGGCGGAGCAGGAGGCGGAGCAGGAGGCGGAGCAGAGGCGGAGCAGGAGGCGGAGCAGGAGGCGGAGCAGGAGGCGGAGCAGGAGGCGGAGCAGGAGGCGGAGCAGGAGGCGGAGCAGGAGGCGGAGCAGGAGGCGGAGCAGGAGGCGGAGCAGGAGGCGGAGCAGGAGGCGGAGCAGGAGGCGGAGCAGGAGGCGGAGCAGGAGGCGGAGCAGGAGGCGGAGCAGGAGGCGGAGCAGGAGGCGGAGCAGGAGGCGGAGCAGGAGGCGGAGCAGGAGCGGAGCAGGAGGCGGAGCAGGAGGCGGAGCAGGAGGCGGAGCAGGAGGCGGAGCAGGAGGCGGAGCAGGAGGCGGAGCAGGAGGCGGAGCAGGAGGCGGAGCAGGAGGCGGAGCAGGAGGCGGAGCAGGAGGCGGAGCAGGAGGCGGAAGCAGGAGGCGGAGCAGGAGGCGGAGCAGGAGGCGGAGCAGGAGGCGGAGCAGGAGGCGGAGCAGGAGGCGGAGCAGGAGGCGGAGCAGGAGGCGGAGCAGGAGCGGAGCAGGAGGCGGAGCAGGAGGCGGAGCAGGAGGCGGAGCAGGAGGCGGAGCAGGAGGCGGAGCAGGAGGCGGAGCAGGAGGCGGAGCAGGAGGCGGAGCAGGTAGGCGGAGCAGGAGGCGGAGCAGGAGGCGGAGCAGGAGGCGGGAGCAGGAGGCGGAGCAGGAGGCGGAGCAGGAGGCGGAGCAGGAGGCGGAGCAGGAGGCGGAGCAGGAGGCGGAGCAGGAGGCGGAGCAGGAGGCGGAGCAGGAGGCGGAGCAGGAGGCGGAGCAGGAGGCGGAGCAGGAGGCGGAGCAGGAGGCGGAGCAGGAGGCGGAGCAGGAGCGGAGCAGGAGGCGGAGCAGGAGGCGGAGCAGGAGGCGGAGCAGGAGGCGGAGCAGGAGGCGGAGCAGGAGGCGGAGCAGGAGGCGGAGCAGGAGCGGAGCAGGAGGCGGAGCAGGAGGCGGAGCAGGAGGCGGAGCAGGAGGCGGAGCAGGAGGCGGAGCAGGAGGCGGAGCAGGAGGCGGAGCAGGAGGCGGAGAGGAGGCGGAGCAGGAGGCGGAGCAGGAGGCGGAGCAGGAGGCGGAGCAGGAGGCGGAGCAGGAGGCGGAAGCAGGAGGCGGAGCAGGAGGCGGAGCAGGAGGGCGGAGCAGGAGGCGGAGCAGGAGGCGGAGCAGGGAGGCGGAGCAGGAGGCGGAGCAGGAGGCGGAGCAGGAGGCGGAGCAGGAGGCGGAGCAGGAGGCGGAGCAGGAGGCGGAGCAGGAGGCGGAGCAGGAGGCGGAGCAGGAGGCGGAGCAGGAGGCGGAGCAGGAGGCGGAGCAGGAGGCGGAGCAGGAGGCGGAGCAGGAGGCGGAGCAGGAGGCGGAGCAGGAGGCGGAGCAGGAGGCGGAAGCAGGAGGCGGAGCAGAGGCGGAGCAGGAGGCGGAGCAGGAGGCGGAGCAGGAGGCGGAGCAGGAGGCGGAGCAGGAGGCGGAGCAGGAGGCGGAGCAGGAGGCGGAGCAGGAGGCGGAGCAGGAGGCGGAGCAGGAGGCGGGCAGGAGGCGGAGCAGGAGGCGGAGCAGGAGGCGGAGCAGGAGGCGGAGCAGGAGGCGGAGCAGGAGGCGGAGCAGGAGGCGGAGCAGGAGGCGGAGCAGGAGGCGGAGCAGGAGGCGGAGCAGGAGGCGGAGCAGGAGGCGGAGCAGGAGGCGGAGCAGGAGGCGGAGCAGGAGGCGGAGCAGGAGGCGGAGCAGGAGGCGGAGCAGGAGGCGGAGCAGGAGGCGGAGCAGGAGGCGGAGCAGGAGGCGGAGCAGGAGGCGGAGCAGGAGGCGGAGCAGGAGGCGGAGCAGGAGGCGGAGCAGGAGGCGGAGCAGGAGGCGGAGCAGGAGGCGGAGCAGGAGGCGGAGCAGGAGGCGGAGCAGGAGGCGGAGCAGGAGGCGGAGCAGGAGGCGGAGCAGGAGGCGGAGCAGGAGGCGGAGCAGGAGGCGGAGCAGGAGGCGGAGCAGGAGGCGGAGCAGGAGGCGGAGCAGGAGGCGGAGCAGGAGGCGGAGCAGGAGGCGGAGCAGGAGGCGGAGCAGGGGGCGGAGCAGGAGGCGGAGCAGGAGGCGGAGCAGGAGGCGAGCAGGAGGCGGAGCAGGAGGCGGAGCAGGAGGCGGAGCAGGAGGCGGAGCAAGGAGGCGGAGCAGGAGGCGGAGCAGGAGGCGTAGCAGGAGGCGGAGCAGGAGGCGGAGCAGGAGGCGGAGCAGGAGGCGGAGCAGGAGGCGGAGCAGGAGGCGGAGCAGGAGGCGGAGCAGGAGGCGGAGCAGGAGGCGGAGCAGGAGGCGGAGCAGGAGGCGGAGCAGGAGGCGGAGCAGGAGGCGGAGCAGGAGGCGGAGCAGGAGGCGGAGCAGGAGGCGGAGCAGGAGGCGGAGCAGGAGCGGAGCAGGAGGCGGAGCAGGAGGCGGAGCAGGAGGCGGAGCAGGAGGCGGAGCGGAGCAGGAGGCGGAGCAGGAGGCGGAGCAGGAGGCGGAGCAGGAGGCGGAGCAGGAGGCGGAGCAGGAGGCGGAGCAGGAGGCGGAGCAGGAGGCGGAGCAGGAGGCGGAGCAGGAGGCGGAGCATAGGTGTTTCTTATAGAACAAAAAGGGGACGATGCCGTTTTTCAACTCGAGATGTTCTTTTCTTCTCCCCGTGCATGCATGCAGGAGCTAGCAGCAATGAAGGCGGAGCAGGAGGCGAAGAAGCTTCCTCCCAAGTACGCGGGCAAGTGGGCGCGGGCCAGCGAGGACGAGGTGGCTGCTGAGCTGGCAAAGGGCACGCCACACTCGTTCCGCTTCCGAGTGCCACCCAACAAAGTCATTAAGATCAACGACCTTGTTCGAGGGGAGGTGAGATGAGACAGACAGCAGCTGTGTGCATGCATGCATGAATGGGATGGGATGGGATGGGATGGGGTGAGGTGGGGTGGGTGGGTGGGGTGGGATGGGATGGGATGGGATGGGATGGGATGGGATGGGATGGGATGGGATGGGATGGGATGGGATGGGATGGGTGAGAGACATGCATGTGCCATGAACCATGCAGCTACTACGCAGCTTGTGTTGACCTCCGTTGACCACTGTTGACTTCTTCTGACTCTCATCTGCCAGGTGGCATGGAATAGACGCAGTGGACTTCGTGATGCTTAGGTGCAACGCTGTGCTGATTTGGGTTGACTGTTGTTGACCACTGTTGAATTTTGTCCACCTCCCTTGACTGGTATTGACCTGCGTTGACTGTTGCTGACCTTTGTTGACTTCGCTTGACCTTGTCATGTGGGGTGGAAAACGGGCACGCTGGGAGAATTTGTGGTGCTGAGGAGCAATGCTCTGTTGACCTCCTGCTGACTTGCATTGTGCTGATCTCCTTTGACTTGCATTGACTTCCCTGCCAGGTGGCATGGAACACGGATACCCTGGGTGACTTCGTGGTGCTGCGCAGCAACGGGCAGCCAGTGTACAACTTCTGTGTCACTGTGGACGACGCCACCATGAAGATCTCCCACGTCATCAGGTGAGTCAAGTCGACGTGCTGCCATGTCAGTTTGCTGCCAGGTCACCATGCCCTCTTTTTCCCCCCTCCCTTCCCCCCCACCCGCCCACACACACATGGCACCCACACACACCACAGACACAACCACATGCACGAACGCAGACACACACACACACACGTGCCTGAGGGAGATTGAAGGCCACTCGTGCTTGGTATGCGCATCCACATTCAGCTTCCTCGCACCCACGCGCACGAACCGACACACACACACACCCTTGCTCGCTTCCGTTCCCACCCACCAATCAGAGCGGAGGAGCACTTGCCCAACACTCTGCGCCAGGCGCTCATCTACGAGGTGCGTGCACCCCTGCTCGCCCTCCGCGCCCTGCTCGCCCTCTGCGCCCTGCTCGCCCTCCGCGCCCTGCTTGCCCTCCGCGCCCTGCTTGCCCTCCGCGCCCTGCTTGCCATGCATACCACAGGGTAGGACTCCCAGGACCTATGCCCCTGCATGCATGCTTGCCCTACTCACCCCATGCCCTTCAACCCTCCTTCCATGCTCACGTTCGGCCACGTGTCGCTCATCCTCGCCCCTGACTGTTCCAAGCTCTGCAAGCCTTGACCTTACTCCCTTCATCACTCACCGCCCACTCACCTCCCTCCCTCGCCCCCTCCCTTTACCCACACCTCACCAACCAGGCGCTGGGTCTGCCCATGCCCACATTCGGCCACGTGTCGCTCATCCGCGGCCCCTCCCTTCGACGCACCTCACCCCATTCTTCACCCCACTCTTCACCGCCCCCTTCACCCCACCCGCCAGGCCCTGGGTCTGCCCATGCCCACGTTCGGCCACGTGTCGCTCATCCTCGCCCCCGACCGCTCCAAGCTCTCCAAGCGCCACGGCGCCACCTCCGTTGGGCAGGTACGAGGGGGGACGGGGAGAGGGGGGAGAGAGGAGGCGAAGGGGAATTGAAAATGAGTGATAAGGGGGAGAGGAAGGCGGACTTGTGTGCCTTGAATTATGTGGTTTGTTCGTATACTGCTCCCTGGCCGCCTCAAGCTCTCAAAGTCACACACCTCTGAGCGCCCCTGCCTTGAACGACGTGGATCGTATCCCAGCCCGAGGCGGCCTGTGAGCAGTGCCAGATGAGCCACCTGGCAGGCCCTGCTCAACTGGAGTGTACGCATCCGTGCTCTCGCTATTGCTTTTCTCTCACCCCTCTCTACTCCCTTAACCCCAGACCAGACCCCCTTCGTGCAGTTGAAGGACCTGGGCTTCTTGCTAATGCCATGGTGAACTATCTCGCGATGCTACTCGCATCGTGCTTTTCTCGCTTCCTAACCATCATCCTCTCCCCTCCTTTCTCTCCTGCTGTCGCACCTAATCCGCCCCGCTGCAGTTCAAGGAGCTGGGATTCCTACCAGAGGCGATGGTGAACTACCTGGCGCTGCTGGGGTGGAACGACGGCACGGAGGACGAGATCTTCACGCCCTCGCAGCTCGGTGCGTGCTGAATGGCATCAGGTGAAGCGTTCATGCTAATACTACCAGGTAATCCGACAGGCAGAACGCTCCCCTCTCTCAGTGCAGTCGAAAGTTCTCCTCTCCTTCTCAGGCTACCAGAGAGAGAGCACGCCAATGGCCATCTACTGCCCCTGCATTGAGGGCCCCTCACATGTCCTGTCCTCGCACCTCCTGCCACCCCCAACACCCCCTTTCTTGTCTCTCACCCCAGCTGTGGGTGGATATAAGCAACTGGTCACCCAGCCAGAGCGGCGCCATCTTTGAAAACGCCAAGCTGCAGTGGATCAACGGCTTATCCCGGTCACTCCCTCTTTCTGCCACCCCTTTGTGCAACCTCCCTCACCCCCCCTCCCCTGCTGTCTCTCTCAGTTACGGTGGATCGATGGCCAGCTCCTGTCACTGCATGCCCCCCCCCTCTTCCCTCCCACTGCAGTTGAGAAGTTCTCCCTCTCACGCGTCACCAACAGCGCGGCCATCTTTGATAACGCCAAGCTGCGGTAAACCAACAGCTTATCCTCGTCACTCCCTTCTTTTCCACCCCATTGCGCAACCCCCCTCGCATCGCCCCCTCTCCGTCAGTTGAGAAGTTCTCTCTCTCCCGCGTCACCAAATCGGCCACGGTCTTCGACATTGCCAAGCTGCGGTGGATCAACTGTTCCCCCTGTCACTCACTCCTTTCCCTGCCCGCCGCCTTTCCCTGTCATGCTCCTAACTGCAGTTGAGAAGTTCTCTCTCTCACGCGTCACCAAGTCCGCCGCCATCTTCGACAACGCCAAGCTGCGCTGGATCAACGGCCAGCACTTCCGCCAGCTGTCCGAGGAAGCTTCTACGCAGCTGCTCGCCGAGCAGTGGCATGCCAGTGGCCTGCTGGCATCAGCAGATGCTACCAGCCGCACCACGCAGGTGGGAAGGGTGGGGGGGGAGGGGGGTTGGAGGGGAAGGGAGGGGGAGGAGATACTTTTGAGAATTCTCAATAGTGGCCTGCTGGCGTCAGCAGACGCTACCAGCCGCACCACGCAGGTGGGGGGTGGGGGGGGTGTGGGGGACGAAAGGAGGGGCAGATGGGAGGAGGGGGGATGGGGCGATGGGGTGATGGGGCGGTGGAAGTGAGGGCGTGAGCATCCGCACGGTGCTTTAACCACTGAACCATGGAGCTCGTCACAGATGCCGATTGTTTATCTAATCCTTCTCCTTTCCTTTCCCATTGTTCGTCTCCACATTGCCCGCCTCCACATTGCCCGCCTCCACATTGCCCGCCTGCACATTGCCGTGCCTGCCAAGCAGGCAGCAGCATCATTGGTGCGCAACGGGCTGGAGCTGGTCACAGATGCCGATGCAGCACTGGAGGCGCTGCTGGCATTCCCTCTCAAGGAGACGCTCGCCAGGTGAGATGCGAGCAGCACTCGCCAGGTGAGATGCGAGCAGCACTCGCCAGGTGAGATGCGAGCAGCACTCGCCAGGTGAGATGCGAGCAGCTCTCGCCAGGTGAGATGCGAGCAGCTCTCGCCAGGTGAGATGCGAGCAGCACTCGCCTGACCTGATTGCCAGTGGTCGCTAGTAGTCACCAGCAATCAGCTGTTGCCCAGTGTTCACAGCCGGTATTGAATGGCAGAAACAGATGCTCATGCGACACTGGAGGCCCTGCTGGCGTACCCTTTCGAGGACACACTCGCCAGGTGAGCAGCGAGCCTCTGCCCTCGTGCATCCTGCTAGTGGGTGTGCCGATGTTATGTCAGTCTGTATGGAGTGCCGATAGGGCACGGGAGGCGCTGCTGGCACGGAGGGGGGGGCGCTGGCAGGGGTGCAGTGGGAGGGGGACGCTGGCAGGGGTGCAGTGGCAGGGGGATGCTGGCAGGGTGGTAGTGGCAGGGTGGTAGTGGCAGGGCGGCAGCGCAAGGGGGAAATGGCGGCCAGCCACTAGTGCCAATGGGTTGTCCTCGCTACTTCCCTCTTCATCTCCCTTGCCTTTCTTTATCTCTATAACCCTCCCTCATTTTTCCCCATGCTTCTCTTTCTCCCCACCAGCGAGGAGGCCAAAGCAGTGGTGGAGGATGGGCAGTACGAAGTGAGGGCAGCGCTGCTGGCGGAGTGGGAGAGCGGGGCGCTGCTGCTTCATCTCTCCCTTCCATTTCCCTTCCCCTTTGCATTCACCCCTGTGCCCTCACAACCACCAGCGAGGAGGCCAAGGCAGTGGTGGAGGACGGGCTGGACGAAGTGAGGGCAGCGCTGCTAACGTTTAATGCCCTCGCTCCTTCCCCTTCTGCCTTGATCTTTTTCCAACTTACCCTTCCGCTTCCAGCGAGGAGGCCAAGGCAGTGGTGGAGGACGGGCTGGACGAAGTGAGGGCGGCGCTGCTGGCGGAGTGGGAGAGCGGAGCACTGCTGGCAGCGGTGGATGGCGGCGCTGCCACGTGGAAGAAGTGGATCAAGGGGTTCGGCAAGGCCACTGGCCGCAAGGTGAGGAGGGGGAGGGGAGGGAGAGTGTGAGTTGTGAGAAGGGAAGTGGGGCAGGGTGAGGAGGGGGAGAGGGGGTGAGAAGGGAATATAGGTGCTGCCGCTTGGAAGAAGTGGATCACGTTGTGCTCAAAACGACAGCAGTGGGGATGGCAGAGGAAAGGCAGGATGGGTGGAGTGAGTTGGGGGCGAAGCTGGATATGGCAGTGCCAAGCCAAGGCTCTGCTTTTGTATGCAATGTCGTTTCAGTTCTGCCCACCACCCCCACCCCATCCCACTCCTCGTCATGTGGGTGAGGCGTCCAACATGCCCCTCGCACCCCGCTTCTCCCCCTCCGTTCCTTCCCCCCACCTCCCCCCTTCCCCCTCCGTCTTCATTCCCCGGCAGGGCAAGCGCCTCTTCATGCCCATCCGCGTGCTGCTCACAGGCTGCATGCACGGGCCTGATGTGGGGGAGACACTCACCATGCTGCAGCACGCAGCAGCGGATAAGGCGCTGGGGCCCAAGGCTCACTGCGTGGGGCTGGAGGAGCGGATTAGCATCCTTAGGGATGCAGACCTTACTGCTGCTCCTGATGCTGCTGAGGCTGTGGCTGCAAGCGTGGCACAATGATGAGGAGGAGAGGAAGCCTTGTAGCACAGTAGGGGGTGCAGCAGGGTGCAGCAGGGTGCAGCAGGGTGCAGCAGGACATGGTGTGGGGCCGGAGGAGAGGATAAGCATTCCAAGGGATGCAGACCTGACTGGAGGTGTTGTTGCTGCTGCTGCTGGTGCTGGTGAGGAGGCAGTGGCTGCAAGCGTGGTGCCATGATGAGTGCGGGATGCTCAGCATGCTGCAGCAGGGTGCAGTGGGGTGCAGTGGGGTGCAGTGGGGTGCAGTGGGGTGCAGTGGGGTGCAGTGGGGTGCAGTGGGGTGCATGGGTTGTGGTAGACTGACACCAAGACCCACAGTTAGGGATGCTTAGGAGTTATCAGAAACAGAGTTGGCTGCTCAAGGGGGGGCAGTCGCACATACCTTGTCGCTGCAGCTGGTGGTGCTGTGGGTGCTAAAGTTGATTTAGGTGGGTGGTGTCCCTATCGGTGTTGGTTCCCAAAAGGGGTATTGCCATATTTAGGTTTGTGGATGCTCCGGCTGTATGTTGCTATCAACTTTTTTTTTTTTTTGGCAATGCAAGTTACACTATAATAGCGCATACAAGCATTAACAGTCGTAACTGGTTGCTATCAACTCGACTTACAGTAATCTCCTGCATAGAGGTAATTTCACACGGAACAGGGTTGATTATGTGCTGCTACTTCCTGTGTGTAAACTTGTCAAACAGCATTCTTCTTGTTATTACAATTGTGCACTTGCTCTTCTCTGGTAGTGACTCGCATTTAATGCATGGGCATGGAAGCGGGTATAATGCGGAGGGGGGCAGCGGGTACATGCCCATCCGAGTGCTGCTCATATGGCGCATGCACGGACCAGACGTGGGGGAGATGCTCACCATAAGAAGTTTGCCACCAACATGGTAGGGACCGAATAGACCCGCTAACTACACCCTTTTATTTGTTTATGTCTTTAAGCATTGTAGACTTCAAATATCAAAGAGCACATTACACGGAGCTTCCAAGTCTCTTCTCCAAACAAAGCAACAGCAATGCAAACAAAGGAGCAAGAAAGAACGAAAATAAAAAAGAACGGTAGCTTCTCCTCTACCTTCCCGTTCCCACTCCCACCGCTTCCGCCATTCCCGCCACATCCTCCACCCGCTTCCACGCCCATGTCTTCGACTTACTCCTCCGCTGCCTCAACCGAAGCCGCCTCGCCCGCCTCCCCGCCGGAGCCGCTGTGGCCGCTTCAGTTGCGTAAGCCGCCTGAAGCGGCTCCGGCGCAAAGAGAGAGAAGATGCCTTCTAGTATCCTCCCCCACCGATCCCTCCCTCCGCGTTATACCCGCTGCCCCCGTCCGCGTTATACCCGCTTCCCCCATCCGCGTTATATCCGCTGCCGCCGTCCGCGTTATATCCGCTGCCCCCGTCCGCGTTATATCCGCTGCCCCCGTCCGCGTTATATCCGCTACCCCCCTCCGCGTCATCCCCGCTGCTTCGCTCCGCGTTATATCCGCTGCCCCCGTCAGCGTTGTACCCGCTGCCCCCCTCTGCATTATACCCGCTTCCACCCTCCGCGTTATCCCCGCTACCCCCCTCGGCGTTGTACCCGCTTCCCCCATCCGCGTTATACCCGCTTCCCCCCTCCGTGTTCTCCTCACTGCCCCGCTCCGCATTATACCCGCTACCGCTCTCCGCGTTGTACCCGCTGCCTCCCTCCGCGTTATACCCGCTTCCACGCTCCTCGTTATCTCCGCTGCCCCCCCCGGTGTTATACCCACTGCCGCTCTCCGCGTTATACCCGGATCCCCCCTCCGCGTTATACCCGCTTCCCCCCTCCGCGTTATCCCCACTGCCCCCCCCGGTGTTATACCCACTGCCGCTCTCCGCGTTATACCCGCTGCCCCCCTCCGCGTTATACCCGCTGCCCCCCTCCGCGTTATCCCCACTGCCCCTCTCCGCATTATACCCGCTGCCGCTATCCGCGTTATACCCGCTCCCTCCCTCCGCATTGTTCCCCTCGTTGTTATCACCCGAATACCCCCCACTCTCCTGGGCGCCGTACCCCTCAGACTCCTGTCCCCCATAGCCCTCAGTTTTCTTAACCACACTCTCCGTCACATACCCCTCGGATGTCTGACCCGACGACCCGTAAGCATTCTCCTCATTCAGAGAAAGATTCTCTGCGCCGTACGACTCGCCTCCCTCAGCATTCGCGTTCGACTGTTCCTCCGACGAGCCGCCGCCAAAGAAGTTCATCATGGTAACGTGCTGGAGTGGCTATTGCCGGCTTGAATAACGCGCGGTTCTTGCTCTGCTCGCGCTTCGACTCCGTCGACCGCCTGACTCGAGGCGACTGCAGAGGGCTAGCAAGTTTGAGCTAGCCACGGAGCGAAGGAGGCAGGATTTGAAGAAGAGCGAGGCTGGGGAGACCGAAATTGCTGAGAATGGGACATTGCATCTCGCATGTCCCCTTTTATGTACATTATGTCATCCCCGCGAGCACTTCTTGCTTTCGGCGCTTGTGTCTCGACTCGAAAGGGCTGAATTGGAGTTGGTCCCCCTCCGTCGTCCATTGCGAGCCGTGACGGCGGGAATCGCTAACGCCGCGCTCCCGAACCGCGCACCCATGTGATTCAACTGGTGGCGCCCCAAACCCAACTCCGTGCCTATGTTGCCGGTCTTGCAAGCAAACACCTCACATCGCATCGCATTTGCTTCTGCCAGTGATTGCAAGAAAGGACCCGCGCCGCGCGCTAGGAGAGGATTTGCGAGATGATGCTGGGGCAAGTGCTCTTCATTCTCTCAATACCCGTTTATACAAAGAGACACGATAATGATGAGAGGGGACAAAAATGTGACGTGTTGCTCCCCATCCCGAATCTCTCACATCTCTCCCTCTCACCAACAACCCACTCGCCACTATTTATTTCTCGTGACTGGGCACTCCACTCAGTTCCCTCTATCATCCATCCCAGGGTTACCGTTCTTAGTTGCGTTGTAAACTGGGGCTCTTACGAAATAATTTTATAGAAACGCCTAGGACAGCTTTGGAAGGGTCTGGTCTGGTTCGTCAAGTACAGTATAGCCCTCTCCGACCAATCAACAATGCCGGTCGGTGCTGTATGTTGCCTTGCCACGTCATTTTGAGTTTCGAAACCTCATCGACGAATCAGAGCTCAACTTGCACAGCTAATCGCGTTGCTTGAAGACAAGCACGAGAAGGGGATATTCGAACTGCGAAGCGCCAAGGCCCAATCAATGGTCGGTGTGAGTGAGACATTGACCTGGCATAGCGTCGAATGGAGTGGCAGTCCAGTCTGTAAGGGTGCTGTACAGCGCAATCCTCAGTCAAGAACAAGACCAGGTGCGACCAACTGAGTCCATGAGTCTGGCGGGATAACACTGTAATAAAGCGGTACCGTACATTTCTGTTACGATAAAACATTAGAAGCGGCATCTCGTCAACTAGTCTCAAAAAACGTGTCAAGTGTCTGAGAAATAAGCGCTTGCTTCTGAGTTCAGCATTTTAGTTTGTGTTTAAGAACCCTCTGAAAATCAGAGTAATGACACCTGGAAATTTAACCCTTGCTGCTGATGGATAAAAATTTTCTGCTGGCCGAGGCTAGTGCCAAATTGGCTGGACAGAAGGCAAGAAGAGCACAGCTGACAAGGGAAGCTACAACAACACCCCAACCCACGCCCTATTTACCGGCATCCTTCAGCGTGGTCAAGGCATGCACTATGCCCTCGCCAACCCGGCCTGCCAGCCCGCCCTCCTCTGTGAGCTGCCTCACTGCCGCCTTCTGCTTCTCCCTCCCCTCCTCCATCTGCACGTCAATGCGGTCAACAGCTGGAAGGACGGGGCAGTGGGGGACACAGAGAGGGAAAAGGGGGTCAATGCCTGATGGGGGATGGGGGAAATGAGGGTCAATGGGGTCAATGGCTGATGGGGAGTATGGGCCAAAGAGGGTCAATGGGGTCAATGGCTGAAAGAACCAGACAGAGAGGTATAAGACAGGGCAATGAGCTATCAATGGCTGGAAGGACGAGGTGAAGAGCTGGAAAGGCAGGATAGAGACAGGCTCGGTGGGTCGCCTGGAAGGAAGGATGGAGCAACTGCTAGGGTGACTCGCAGGCGACAAGTAGTGCTTCAAAGTACATGCCTTCACCTCGCTCACCTCGCTTCACATGCACGTGCGCATGGTGCAGGGGCAAGCGCACAAACATCTCCCCTCCGCCCATCGCCACCCACACTCGCTCCTTCTGCCCCACCGCCCCACACACCGCACACTCTGAACTCCCATCCAATCCTGACGTGCCAACTGGCACCGCAGGCAGGGGGGTAACAAGTGGCCGGTGCGCCTCTGCCGATACACCTCCCCCAGCAGAACCTCCCCCAGAGCCCGCCTCCCTGCGCCCCCCTGCTCTCCTGGCAGCCGCCCCCCTGGCATGCTTCTTGAGCGCTGTGATGGCCTCCCTGCCTGCATTGCGCTGGCGATCCAGGTCCACTAGCTGGAGGGGGCGGGGAGGGGTGGGGAACGGAGCGAGGGGAGGGGAGGGGAGGGAGAGAGGGGACAAGACAAGCGAAGCTGGAAAATGGTTGTTCACAGCCGTGACGGCCTGCCTGCTTGCATTGTGCTGGCGATCGAGATCCACTAGCTGGGGTTGGATGGGAGGACATGGCGAAGGGGAAGGGGAGGGGCGGAGGAAGGAGAGGGGACAAGATAAGTGAAGGGCAGGTGGGGCGAAAGGGAATTGTGCAGAGCTGTGGCAGCCTCCCTGCGCGCACTGCACTGCGCTCCTCCCCTCCCCCCCCCCCCCAGCTTCACCTCGCCCGTCCACTGTGCCACCCTTTTGTTGCCATCCGCACTGCCCTGGCGTTGGGAGTGGGAATGTACACGAGGGGATAAGTGCAGGGCGGGTGGGGATGGGGGGGTTGAGAGGGGTACAGGCGTGGATGCAGAGAGGACAGGAGGAAACTGCAATGGTCTCCCTGGCGGCACGCGCTGCCCGTTCGGATCCAGTAGGTGAGGGAGGGAGAGGGGAGTGCGGATGGGGAAACGGATGGGCAACGGCAACAGATGGGGGGAGAAACGGGAGGCACAGTGGATGGGAGAGGTGAAGGGGAGGTGGGGGGAATGAGTGTGGTGGCGTGAGGAAGGGTGTGATGTGATGTGAATGTGCGATGTGCGGTGTGACGCGATGGCGTGCAGTACAATATGATGCTTTGTGTGTGCCACATGGTGGTACGAGGATTGGTGTGACATACCCTAAGAAGGAATAAAAGCGGAGGAAGAGTGGGGGGTAGGGATGGGGGGGGAGGATACAGGCGCCACAGGCCACAGCACACCCGCCTCAGCATCGAAGCAAGAGAGTGAGTGAGGTTGGCGATGTGATCCAGACATCTTCTAGCAGCTTCTCTAGCCTACACTGAATTCCTCTCCCACATCACCAGCACCGCACTGCACCGCTCACCTCCTGCTTCACCAGCAGCACCTCTTCCGCCTTGGCCTCCGCAGACCTCAGCCGCTGCTGCAGCTGCACCATCCCCTCCTCCATGCCGCCCAACCCGCCCCTCGCCTCCTCCACCCCCCCGTGCTGCTTCGGGCCTTTGTGGGAACGCGAGACACTATCCTAACGAGCGTGTGAGCACGACTGAATGTGCTGACCAATCATATGTGTCGGCCTTTCTCACACTCTTTCACAAACATTTCCTTCACCCCTCCCCCTCCCCTCTCACCTCCCTCTTCCCCCCTCTCCCCGTCCCTCCCCGCGCTCCTCCCTTCCGCCCGTCCCTCCGCAATCCTCTCTTGCCCTCCACCCTTCGCCCGCCCCTTGCCTCTCTCCGAACTCTTCACGCCAGGGGTGTGAGCCTCATTCCAGTTCACGCCTCTTTACTCCGAGCGTATGCCGCGATTCTGTCGTTCTCCCATCCTTATCGTGTGACCCTCCGCGCGTCGCTCAACCGTCGCATGCTACAAGCGGGAAAGGCGATGCCGTTGGTGCAATTGAGATAGAGTGGCGCGTGGAGGTGGGCTGTGGAAGGGCGGAGAGCGGGGAACGCGCGGGGTAGAAGTTAAGAGGGCGACAGGGCGGAAGCGACGATGAGCGATCGACGACTGCCTCGCGACGAGCAGCGAGCGATGGGCGTGCGACAACAAGACCTCAGCGACGGGACGTGCGAGACAAGAGGTTGGTGGGAATTCAGAAAATGAGGTTCGGGGTGCTGCGAGACATGAATGTAACAAGTAGCCTTGGCAAGTTCCTCCTTGCGAAGCAAGAGTCGAAGTTCAATCAACCCTACTGTGATCAGGGGTTACATTTCGCACAAGTTCGCCACAGCCAGGAACTCGCCAGTTTCGCATCCTACAACAGCAGCTGTTTGGACGGGCCAGCTTGGCTCGAATCCCACCACGATTTATTTACGAACATAAACATGAATCCTTGGCTCACCCAGACCGAAACAAGCCTGAACGGATTTACAGCGGCCAATGACATTCCGAAACTGAACGCTTCGCCGACGCATTCAGCGAAGGGGTTTCTATGCCCCTAACGGCACATGCTCCTCTCGCTCCGCGTGCTTCCCGCGTGCTCACACTATCCTTCCACTCACCGCGTTAACCGTGCCGCGGCACTCCACGGTCCCGCACGTCGCGTCCTTCCGTCGCGCCATCGCGCCTGCCACGCGCGCATTGACACCGCGTAGCGCGCTCTAGCCTCCCCCGCTGCAGCTCCGACGTACTTTTTTCCCGCGCGCAGCGGCTCTCACCTCACAGTGGCTCTCGCGTCGCACATAGGTCGTCGGGGTCGGTAGCAGAGTTATCCTACCACCCATCCACGTCACCATCCACGTCACCACCCATCCACGTTACCACCCATCCACGTCACCATCCATCCACGCCACCAGCCATCAAATTCGCGTCCGCGTTTGCGTTCTTGGCGCCTCGGAAGCCGACCGCCTCGTTATAGCGGCCACATGGACGAGTCTGACGTGTCATGGGAGGAGTTTTTCGCCACGTCACCACCTCTCGCAGAAGCTGACGTCATCAAGGAGCAGCTTTCGGCCTTCATCGTACGCCACGTCATCATCAGCATCACGAACATTATGAGCGGCCTTCCCCATGCGGCCTGCCATGTCCATGCGGCCATCATGCTGCCCCTGATGATGAATGGCGACGCCCCCACTCCTGTTACCGCTCCCATCGTGCTTCTCTTCGCCCCCAGCATGACCGAGCACCACTCACTGGCCCCAGTCTCCATGCACCCGCGCCCCTCCACACTCCACAGCCCCCATCCTCCCTTTTCTGTCCCTCCCTCCCTTTTGAGGCGCCCCAAAAGTCGCCTGCCCCGCTCGCTCGTTCTCCCGTCTTCCCCGCTCTGCACGCCCACGTTTCAGTTTCAGTGCCTCCACGCCACGCTCGTCCCTGCTGCCCATCCCTCCTCCCTCACCGCTCCTTCAGTGCTGCTGCCGTGTCATGCACGGCATAGGCGGGACCCCGGTGCTGCTGCACCCATTCACCCTCCCTTCCCCCTCGTTTCTGCTCTTTCTCGCCTCTCCCCCTAACCCCCCCGCCCCACCCGCCTCCCCTCTACAGCGAGCATCACAGCAGCCTGGGGGGTGCCTCCCGGGTGGCATGTGTGACGCCGGGCGGCACGACAGTGCCCCTGGCGCGCCGATGTGTGTGCTTCATCCACAACTTCATTCTTCCCGCTTCCCGTCCCCGCCCCTTCTTTTCCTCCGCGCCCCCCCCCCCCTCCCCTCCTTTGCAGCAAGCGTCGCAGCAGCGTGGTGGTGCATCCCTAGTCGTGTGTGTGACGTCAGGCGGCACAACACTGCCGTTAAAGCGCCGCTGTGTGCACTTCATTGACAGCTTCACACCCCCCCTCCTCTCTTCTTTCCTTCCCTCCCCTCACCTTCCTTGCAGCAAGCATCGCAGCAGCCTGGGGGCGCCCCACTGGTAACGTGTGTGACATCGGGCGGCACGACAGTACCTCTGGAGCGGCGCTGTGTGCGCTTCATTGACAACTTCAGCGCTGGCAACCGCGGGGCCGCCTCCTGCGAGTGAGAGTTTGGGATGGGGTGAACGAGCCCCTCCCCATCATCAGCTCCTCCCTTTGCTGCGCTGCGTCCTGCCGCCCTGTGCCGGGTGCAACGGCAGTTTCCGTGCTCGAGACACTGCCAGATCTCGTCTCGCACGTGCATTTTCATCTCCGTCTCTTGAGGCGCCTCAAAAGCAGATCTCGTCTCGCACGTGCATTTTCATCTCCGTCTCTTGCCTTTCGGAAAACTTGTTTGCCCCTCTCCGTGCGTTTACGCCACTCAGCCCTTCCATTCCACATCACCTACCACACTCACACATTTCCCCCTTATCCTCTCCACCGCTCCCAACCACTCCACATCCGTGTGCATGCATACGTGGCGACCGTTCCCCCCTGCGTGCAGGCACTTCCTCGCCCAGGGTTACTCCGTGATCTTCCTGCACAGGCGGTATGCTGCCCACTCCTATGCTATTTTCCTGTGTGTGTGTGCGCGCGCGCGCGCGTGTGTGTGTGTGTGCGTGTGTGTGTGCGTGTGTTTGCGTGGGTGTGGGTGTGTGCGTGCATGCGTGCGTGCGTGTGTGTGTGTGTCGCCACTGCAACCACGACCATGCTCTGCACTGCACTCACTGCAACCACGACCATGCTCTGCACTGCACTCACTGCAACCACGACCATGCTCTGCACTGCACTCACTGCAACCACGACCATGCTCTGCACTGCACTCACTGCAACCACGACCATGCTCTGCACTGCACTCTCTGCAACCACGACCATGCTCTGCACTGCACTCACTGCAACCACGACCATGCTCTGCACTGCACTCTCTGCAACCACGACCATGCTCTGCACTGCACTCACTGCAACCACGACCATGCTCTGCACTGCACTCACTGCAACCACGACCATGCTCTGCACTGCACTCACTGCAACCACGACCATGCTCTGCACTGCACTCACTGCAACCACGACCATGCTCTGCACTGCACTCACTGCAACCACGACCATGCTCTGCACTGCACTCTCTGCAACCACGACCATGCTCTGCACTGCACTCACTGCAACCACGACCATGCTCTGCACTGCACTCACTGCAACCACGACCATGCTCTGCACTGCACTCACTGCAACCACGACCATGCTCTGCACTGCACTCACTGCAACCACGACCATGCTCTGCACTGCACTCACTGCAACCACGACCATGCTCTGCACTGCACTCTCTGCAACCACGACCATGCTCTGCACTGCACTCACTGCAACCACGACCATGCTCTGCACTGCACTCTCTGCAACCACGACCATGCTCTGCACTGCACTCACTGCAACCACGACCATGCTCTGCACTGCACTCACTGCAACCACGACCATGCTCTGCACTGCACTCACTGCAACCACGACCATGCTCTGCACTGCACTCACTGCAACCACGACCATGCTCTGCACTGCACTCACTGCAACCACGACCATGCTCTGCACTGCACTCTCTGCAACCACGACCATGCTCTGCACTGCACTCTCTGCAACCACGACCATGCTCTGCACTGCACTCACTGCAACCACGACCATGCTCTGCACTGCACTCTCTGCAACCACGACCATGCTCTGCACTGCACTCACTGCAACCACGACCATGCTCTGCACTGCACTCACTGCAACCACGACCATGCTCTGCACTGCACTCACTGCAACCACGACCATGCTCTGCACTGCACTCACTGCAACCACGACCATGCTCTGCACTGCACTCACTGCAACCACGACCATGCTCTGCACTGCACTCACTGCAACCACGACCATGCTCTGCACTGCACTCTCTGCAACCACGACCATGCTCTGCACTGCACTCACTGCAACCACGACCATGCTCTGCACTGCACTCACTGCAACCACGACCATGCTCTGCACTGCACTCACTGCAACCACGACCATGCTCTGCACTGCACTCACTGCAACCACGACCATGCTCTGCACTGCACTCACTGCAACCACGACCATGCTCTGCACTGCACTCTCTGCAACCACGACCATGCTCTGCACTGCACTCACTGCAACCACGACCATGCTCTGCACTGCACTCTCTGCAACCACGACCATGCTCTGCACTGCACTCACTGCAACCACGACCATGCTCTGCACTGCACTCACTGCAACCACGACCATGCTCTGCACTGCACTCACTGCAACCACGACCATGCTCTGCACTGCACTCACTGCAACCACGACCATGCTCTGCACTGCACTCACTGCAACCACGACCATGCTCTGCACTGCACTCTCTGCAACCACGACCATGCTCTGCACTGCACTCTCTGCAACCACGACCATGCTCTGCACTGCACTCACTGCAACCACGACCATGCTCTGCACTGCACTCTCTGCAACCACGACCATGCTCTGCACTGCACTCACTGCAACCACGACCATGCTCTGCACTGCACTCACTGCAACCACGACCATGCTCTGCACTGCACTCACTGCAACCACGACCATGCTCTGCACTGCACTCACTGCAACCACGACCATGCTCTGCACTGCACTCGCTGCAACTGTCACTCTGCATGTGCTCGCTCTCTCTTTCTGCCACGCGCTTCACTCGGTGCGCCTGCAGTCAGTCGCTACCAGCACCCATTCATTTGTGCTGTTAGGCAATGCACATAAGGAGCGCATTCCTGAGGTGTAAATAGCACTCGTAGGTATGTGTTGTGGTTCTCTCAGGAAGTGTGTCGCGTCACTACCACGGCCACGTCACTACCACTGCCACGTCACTACCACCGCCACGTCACTACCACCGCCACGTCACTACCACCGCCACGTCACTGCCACGGCCGCAGCGTGTTGCGTGTGTCTCGCCGCACGAAAAATCGACTCTCTCTCCTTGCTTCTCACTGCTCATGTTTCACTCTCCTCACGTCGTCCTCCCCATCCTTTTCCTTCCTCCTCCTCCTCCTCCTCCTCCTCCTCCTCCTCCTCCTCCTCCTCCTCCTCCTCCTCCTCCTCCTCCTCCTCCTCCTCCTCCTCCTCCTCCTCTCACTACCACACCTCCAATATCACCCCTCCCATTCCCACCACACTGCGCTGGCCTCCATGCGTCTTTTCTGCCGCGGCCTCCCAGAGTCCCGCCTCCATACTAGGTCCTTCTCCTCCTCCTTTTTAATCTTCTTCCTCTTCTCTACTCCTCCACGCCAGGGGCTCCATGCGTCCCTTCTGCCGCGGCCTGCCCGAGTCTCCTCTCCTCACGTGCCTGCGAGCCACGCCCGCTGCTGACACCCCCCGGGGTGAGGGCGAGGGTAGTGCTGCCCAGTGCGTGCAGCAGGAGGGGCAAGGCGAGGGCAGTGGGCGTGGGGAGGAGGGAGTGAGCGGAGAACAGGGAGGCAGTGGGGAGAAGAGTGCCAGTGCGGCACAGAGCAGTGGCAGCGGTTCCGGGCGAATGTACCTTGAAGGTGCGTGCGTGCTCCTGACTGGCAGGCGATGGGGTGCGGTGCTGTAGGGTGCAGTGCTGTGTCATAGCTGACAGTTTGGAACCACTTTCGACAGCAACTCTTTACTAATTTTATCCACTCGCTTCCTCGTGCCATGCAAATCATTCTTTCGCCTCCTAATCCCCCCCTCCCTCATTCCCTGTCTCCCACCCCATGTCCCGCCACCACATCCCTTGTCGCCCTCCTCCCCCCTCACTGCCCCTGCCAGCCATTCCGCCCTACACAGATGCTGTGCATCGAGCCGTTCTCATGTTCAATCAGGTGCGCTCTCTAGTGAGATTTACACTGAGTGCGTTTTACATTAGCGTATTGATGCTAAATTAGCATATAAACGCTCAGGAAGTTGTGCTTTACGCTTGGGGGTGATAGGGCATACACTAGTTAGGATTTTGCATGGCCGGTCAGGTAAAAACAACCCTGGAAAGGGCCTGAAAATACTTGGCGGGGTTGAGGGGAGGGAGAAGGGAAAGGGGAAAGAGGGCAGGTAAGGAGCTAGGCATTCTAGGGAGATCGTGAAATGGCCCAGTGCGATCGTGAGTTAGGGCTGAGTTGCGGCAGCGAGAATACAGGAGAAGCTACAAGCAGGCCCCTTCAGGGCATAGAGTGCTGACGACAGTGGAGGGGTTGGATAGGGAGAGAGAGTGGAATTCAATGGGGATGGGGGTAGTACAAGGGTGGGAGAAAAAGTTTGTGGTGAAGCAGTCCTTATCTAGAGTTGACGACTCTTCGCAGCGAATCTCTAAAACGTGAAATGTCGCCCAGAAGACTCCATTGGTTTGCCTGTGCAGCCCAGCTTTTACTTCTCTAGAATATTGCGTAAACCCTAGCAGGCATGCAGCGTGAAGCGTATCTACTCTAGTGTTTTGCGCGGTACGCTAGGCCAACCGAGAGTGTTTTTTCTCACTCAGGTGCTCCAGCACCCACCTGACCCATGGCTTGTGCACACCGCTTGCACCCCTGGCATTCCCCGCATGGCCCTTGGGTTTGCTGTGTCGTTTCCTGGTTCAAGAAATGCCGTCCGCTCGTTTCCTTGTTCACCGCTTTCCATCTCTGTGCAACGCACACCACCGCTCTACTCCGTGCAGGCTCAGGAGGGAGGGCGGCTACTGCTGCTGCCATTCACCACGCTCTTCCAGTACCTGCAGGTGAGCCGCTCTTCCAGTACCTGCAGGTGAGCCGCTCTTCCAGTACCTGCAGGTGAGCCGCTCTTCCAGTACCTGCAGGTGCCGCCCTTCTCCCGTAGCGTCCACCGATATAGCATCCATCACGAGAGCGCTCGTGCAGATAGTGATCGCCTCCAGAGCCGCTTGTGAGTTACAAGAGGCTCAAACAGGCAAAAACATGAGAGGATTCACTGCAGTTTCCAGGTCGGGACTCGTATGATTCATGCTCATGCGGCTCGTGTAAGTGCGGCCTGGAAGCTCTTCAAGATACTCTCTTACGACATTTGACCCTCCCCGTTGCACGTCAGTATATTCGATTGTCAACGTGGTTCATCATTTCTGTGGCTGCTGCTGGGTGAAAATGACTACCAGGACTGTGACAGGCATTTAGATTTTATCACTTCTTAAGATATGTCCTCTTGTTTATTTCCTACAAGCAGCTCAACCCCTTCAAGTCGGGCTGTTGTCGGTCTCGAGTCGCTCCCATGCCATCCCATCCTCCCAACTGCCAGCACTTGGCCTTTCACCTCCCGACTTATCGCCTCCCTTTCTTTCCTCTTCCTTTCCGCTCCTCCCCTCCCCAGTTGCTTCGCCTTGTGGCAGAAGCCTTGAACCCCATTGGTCCACGTGGCATGGTCTACCTGGCAGCAGCAGTGTCTGACTTCTTTGTGCCCTGGCCCTCCATGGTACAACCTTACCCTAACCCCCTCTGTCCATAAATTCTCTACCTTAATTCATCCATGGAACACCCTGACCCTAACCCCTAAGTGCTGAACCAATGATGTCATGTTATGCCAATTCATGCCATGCCATGCCCTTCCCTGCCGCGCCGTGCCGTTCCCGGCTACGTTGTGCCATGCCATGCCTTCCTAGTGTGGCCACGTCCGCACGCCATGCAACTATCACCCATCCGTCCCTCCATGGGCCGTTTATCCCTTTCCCACTCCTGAGGGGGGATTCTGCAGGCAGGCCCTCTGGACACCATGTGCTCGCTAGGGCATGCCATATGTCTTGCGCACTGCCGCCACCCTGCCCAATCCCCGCCATGCTACCGCCACCCTGCCCAATCCCCGCCATGCTACCGCCACCCTGCCCAATCCCCGCCATGCTACCGCCACCCTGCCCAATCCCCGCCATGCTACCGCCACCCTGCCCAATCCCCGCCATGCTACCGCCACCCTGCCAATCCCCGCCATGCTACCGCCACCCTGCCCAATCCCCGCCATGCTACCGCCACCCTGCCCAATCCCCGCCATGCTACCGCCACCCTGCCCAATCCCCGCCATGCTACCGCCACCCTGCCCAATCCCCGCCATGCTACCGCCACCCTGCCCAATCCCCGCCATGCTACCGCCACCCTGCCCAATCCCCGCCATGCTACCGCCACCCTGCCCAATCCCCGCCATGCTACCCCCACCCTGCCCAATCCCCGCCATGCTACCGCCACCCTGCCCAATCCCCGCCATGCTACCGCCACCCTGCCCAATCCCCGCCATGCTACCGCCACCCTGCCCAATCCCCGCCATGCTACCGCCACCCTGCCCAATCCCCGCCATGCTACCGCCACCCTGCCCAATCCCCGCCATGCTACCGCCACCCTGCCCAATCCCCGCCATGCTACCGCCACCCTGGCAGGTGGAGCACAGAATGCAGTGGGCCACTGGCGGGGCCCGCTGACCACTGACCATGCCCATTCCTGCTTCAACCCACACCACACCAGCACATGCCGCTCGCACCCACCCTGCACCCCGCATACCTCTCTCCCACTCCCCACCATCCCTCCCACATCTCTCCGCCCTCCCCCCCCCTCTCACCAGGTGGAGCACACGATCCAGTGGGGCGTGGGCCTCCTGGGCATCCATCTGGCGCGCGTGCCCCAGATGACTTTGACATGTCTCTCACAAGCCCTTTCCCCCCCCCTCTCCTCCCTTCCTCACGCCAGGTGGAGCACAAGATCCAGTCAGGGGCGGGGCCGCTGGACATCCACTTGGCGCGAGTGCCCAAGATGATTCCCCTCCTGCGCTCCCTCTGGTGCCCCTCCGCCCTCCTCGTCTCCTTCAAGGTCCGCCTCCCACCCTCCCACCCTCACACCCTCACAACCTCACACTCACTCGCCTCTACACCCATCCCGCCTCGCCACGCTCTCCTTCCGCTGCCCTGCCTCTTCCTTGCTCTTGCTGCACTCCATTGCACCCAAGTGTCCTGCAAGCATGCGATGCTTATGGTTTTCTTGTAGCCTCAAGGGGAAACCAATATGCGATGCAAGGGTGGACCAGGGGAATGGATTCGGTGTGTCAAATCGTTGAGAGGATAGGGGAGAGGCAAGGGAGATGTGATGTCATCTTCACAAACCCTTGTCCCCATCCCTCCTCCCCGATTCCCCAGTTGGGGATGAGCAGCAGCACATTGCACCGTAAAGAACCCCACTTCCTCTCCCCCAACCCCTCCCCTTTCTCCCCCCCGCCAGCTGGAGACGGACAGCAGCATTCTGCTCAGCAAGGCGGACAGCATCTTACCCCCCCCGCCCCCCTTTCTCCCCCCCAATCCCCTCCTCCCCCCTGCCAGCTGGAGACGGACAGCAGCATTCTGCTCAGCAAGGCGCGCTCAGCCCTGCAGAAGAACCAGGTGCATGCGGTGGTGGCCAATGAGCTGCTGACACGTGGCAGCAAGGTGGTGCTGGTGACGGAAGAGGGGGAGGAGGTGATAGAACGGGGCGGGGGGGGGGTTGAGGGGAAGGGGGCAGTTGGAGACGTGGAGGAGCCACTGGTGAAGCTGCTGGCAGCCATGCACCACAAGCACTGCCAGCGGGATCGATAGTTGCGGGGAGGGAGGGGAGGGGAGAGGGGCGAGGACATAGCGAGGGGGCAGTTGGAGACGTGGAGGAGCCACTGGTGAAGCTGCTGGCTGCCATGCACCACAAGCACTGCCAGGAGAGCTGATGGCTTGAGGCTGTGAGGCTGTGAGGCTTTTGGGGCTGTGGGTCGCGTGCTATAGCAGGCAGCTGTGGGCGCAGGGGACGGGGCAAGGGGAGGAGGTGATAAGAGTGGGCGAAAGGGGGATGGGCGCAAGGGGGGAGTGGGGGACGTGGAGGGGGAATGCTAACTGTCATGCATGTAACCACCGTCAGGGGGCCGATGCTTTGACGCCTGGAGTCTCATAGGCTACCGTTTGTGCCTTTCATGTGTTAGGAGGCGCCTGTAGCAGCATGCACGAGTGGGTGCGGGTAAATCAGTGCATGAAGCTTTCTCTTGAAGCGTGGACCGTGCAGTGCACGGGTGGCATCAAGGTTGCTGACACACAGCTGGGTTCTGAGGCGACTCAACTCAAAAACCACGTACGGCATGGCACGAGGGCTTTTTAATCCAGCTGGTAACCAGTGCGTTACAGTGTGCCAAAGCTACCCTAACTGCTTGCCTGTTCTGCTGTATGGGGTGTGCAGTTGCCAGCTGACTGCACTTGCAATAAACGAATTTACAGTTGCCATTGCCAGTACCACATCTACACAAAGCACTACGGTATGTGTGTGTTATGCATACCCAACAAATGTACTGACATTTATTCTGCTGGCCAACACAGCCAGTATATTGGCACAGCAAGCTCTGCTGGCATGGCAATCATTCCAGCAAACGGCAAAACATGTCTCTACAACGATGGGGGCATGCGATGCAAGGCATGCGATGCAAGGCATGCGATGGAAGGCATGCGATGCAAGGCATGCGATGCAAGGCATGCGATGCAAGGCATGCGATGCAAGGCATGCGATGCAAGGCATGCGATGCAAGGCATGCGATGCAAGGCATGCGATGCAAGGCATGCGATGCAAGGCATGCGATGCAAGGCACGCGATGCAAGGCACGCGATGCAAGGCATGCGATGCAAGGCATGCGATGCAAGGCATGCGATGCAAGGCATGCGATGCAAGGCATGCGATGCAAGGCATGCGATGCAAGGCATGCGATGCAAGGCATGCGATGCAAGGCATGCGATGCAAGGCATGCGATGCAAGGCATGCGATGCAAGGCATGCGATGCAAGGCATGCGATGCAAGGCATGCGATGCAAGGCATGCGATGCAAGGCACGCGATGCAAGGCACGCGATGCAAGGCATGCGATGCAAGGCATGCGATGCAAGGCATGCGATGCAAGGCATGCGATGCGCGACACATCTTCCGCCGAAATGGCAGTTGATAAGGCACCTTGTAGTCCGATCCGTGTGTGGAGCTACCGTATGTAATTCATGCAAGGCATGGGAGGAATGGGATGGGAGAGAGCCATGGTTGGACGCCACACGTGTGAGGCGGTCAGTAGGGCGGCTTGTAGCCTTGTGGGGGAGGAGGGTACCCTCCTGGCTGTGACGAGTAGCCACCCTGCTGAGTTGGAGACCCGCCGTGCTGGGGAGGGTAACCGCCGGGTTGGGAAGAATAACCACCCTGCTGTGGAGGGTTATTACCCTGCTGTGTGGGGTAACCTCCAGGTTGAGAAGAATAACCGCCCTGTTGTGGAGGGTAACCACCCTGTTGATTCGGCTGTGGGGGGTAACCACCTTGTTGAGAAGAATACCCTCCCTGCTGAGGGGGGTAACCACCCTGCTGCCCATACCCGCCTTGAGGAGACGGATACCCCCCCTCTTGCGAAGGGAACTGGTCCGGTGCAGGCGGGGCGGAGGGCACGGTGGGATAGCTGGAAGGAGGGGCACCGGGGTACGGCTGCTGCTGCTGCTGCTGGTAGTAGGGGGGCGGTTGCTGCTGGCCATACGGCGGTGGCTGTTGCTGTTGCTGGTATCCCATGCCCGAAGCAGCAGCAGCGTCCATCTCGAGCACTCGTGGAGGGGGAGGCAGAGGCGGGGTGGGTGGCATGCGCCCGATGCGCTTGCTGCACGGAACCCATTGAGGGGGGGGGGGGACACAGGACGTGGGGAAACCGGGGACGGGGTAAGAATGACGAGGAGGATAGATGCTTGCGATGAGGGAGAAGCGATGCCCATGGATGGCCATTGACAGCCACTCCATGTGAACTCGAGGAGCAAGCCACCACCCATCCACACCTTTTCCACTCACTGCCCCCTACCCTCACCCAAAAAAACTCTCCGCTCAACCGTTAGCGCCCCACTCACCCCAGCGTGCCCATCTCGCTGCACGCCTTGAACTGCAGCGGCACCTCCATCAGCGCACTCAGTGCAAAACACAGCAGCTCACCCTTCCATGCATCCCCCATTCACCCCGACACACCCATCTTGCTGCCCTCACCCCCCTCCCTCAACCCACCCCTCCTCCACTCACCCCAGAGCACCCATCTCGCTGCACGCCTTGAACTGCAGCGGCACCTCCATGAGCGCACTCAGCGCAAAGCGCACCGCCTTCTGCTCGTGCGGCCCCGGCGCTGCCAGGATCTGCGAACAGTCCACGAACTGGGGAGGGGTGGGGGAGAACAGGGGGGGGAAGGGGTTAATACAGGGGGGACAGGGAAGTGGACACTGGGCAATACATTGCCTTGAGGTCGTGCACTCCACAATTCCCCACATCGTTTGACGGAGCTAGAATTTGCAAGTCCACGAACGGGTGCACTGAGAGGGGGGCGGGGTGGGGGAGACGTTGTGGGGTGGGGGAGACGTTGTGGGGTGGGGGAGACGTTGTGGGGTGGGGGAGACGTTGTGGGTGAGGGAGACGTTGTGGGTGGGGGAGACGTTGTGGGGTGGGGGAGACGTTGTGGGGTGGGGGAGACGTTGTGGGGTGGGGGAGACGTTGTGGGGTGGGGGAGACGTTGTGGGTGAGGGAGACGTTGTGGGGTGGGGGAGACGTTGTGGGGTGGGGGAGACGTTGTGGGTGAGGGAGACGTTGTGGGGTGAGGGAGACGTTGTGGGGTGGGGGAGACGTTGTGGGTGAGGGAGACGTTGTGGGGTGGGGGAGACGTTGTGGGGTTGGGGGGCAGGGGGGGGAGGTGTTCGAAAGGGGGGCAAGGGAAGTGGGGAATAGAGAGCAAGAGAGTGGAGTGAGATAAAACAAGATGAATGGAAAGGAAGAGGGGTAGTCACAGGCCTGGTGATCACAGTGCAAGATGACAGCCGCACAGGGAGAGGAGAGGCAAGAAGAGAGATTGACAAAGGTAAGGGTGTGTGGCAGTGTGTGTGTGGCATGCCCGACTTTTGACAGTGCAATGCAACAGGAAGACCACCAAGAAACGTTGCACAGCGCGTAACAAGTTGACTTCTGAGTCGCCTCAAAAGTCAACAAAGTTGCGAAGCGTGCAAGAAACGCTTCAGTAAGACCAGAGGCAGCAACGGGGTGGCGGCGCAGAGGAGCAGGGCGGGCAGGCATGGCGACCTGGAAGTTGTCGAAGTTGCGCTGCGGCAGCCCGTCGTCAAAGCTGTGCATCACTTCCCATGGGCCGTCGCCCACCCCCACGAGTATTATGGAGAGCGCGTAGTTGCTGGCAGGAAGGGGTGGTGGTCATGGCGTTGCGGCGTGCGAGGAGGGAGGGGCGGGCAAGAGAGGAGTGGAGAGAGCAGGGGGGAGAGAGGAAGAAGGAAAGGGAAAGGGAGAGGGAGAGGGTGAGTACCTGGAAGTTGTCGAAGGCCCTAGCCGGCAGCAGGTCGTCAAAGCCGTGCATCACGTCCCAGGGGCCGTCTCCCACGCCCACGAGCACTATGGAGAGCGCATAGTTGCTGGCAGGGTGGGGAAGGGACGAGGGGGGAGGGGCGGAGACGGGAGGGAAGAGGGGACAAAGGAGTGAAATGGCGGTAAGTTGGTAACGGGGGGGTGGGGCGGGGCTGCAGTGAGCGAAGTAGTAAAGAAGAGCACTGAATACTTGTGAGCGAATAAGGACCGGCCTGTGAACGGAAATTGGGGTGAGTGGGGAGAGAGGGGCAGGGTAAGTGTTGCGGAAGAGAGAAAGGGTTGGGAAAAGGGTAGGTAGGACGAGACGAGAGAGCATGCGTTGAAGCAGTGGGTGAGTGGGTCAAAGCGCATGCGTTGCTTAGATTATGCACCTTGCCCTGCCCTGCACCCCAATGCTCTTCCCCCCAATGCACCCCAATGCACCCCAATGCACCCCAATGCACCCCAATGCACCCCATTGCACCCCGATACACGGCAATGCACCCCTCACCTGGCAGCAACGATGGCGTCCACAGTGGCGCGCTCCTGCTTGCTCAGCTGCCCGGGCGGCACGTCCGCACTGCGCGTCACCTGGGGGGGGGTAGAGGGGCGGAAGAGCGGGAGAGGCGGAAGAGAGAGGGCAGAGAGAGAGGTGGGAGAGCTGCCACGGGCGGGACGTCCGCTCCGCACTGCACGTCTCCTGTGGGGGGGGTGGTTGGGGCAGGAGGCCGTTCGTGCAAAGGACAGAAAAGGGGGTGCGGAGCTGACGGATAAAGGTTAGTGAGTGAGAGAGAGGTTGGGAGAGGAAGAGGGAAAAAGCGACGAGAGGAAGGGCGGAGGCATGGGGAAGTGGGCACAACGGGGCATGAGGGGGGGGGCAATGAGAGGCAGTGTGGGGCAATGGGAGTGACGGGCGGTGAAGAGTGAACAAGGGAGCGGAGCAGGTTCGCACCTGGCCGTCAGCAATGATGAGCAGCACGTGGTAGTTGCCCCCGCTCTCACTACCTGCTATCACCGCACTGCACCACACCGCACCTGGCCGTCAGCAATGATGAGCAGCACGTGGTAGTTGCCCCCGCTCTCCTCCACTATGCGCACCGCTGCCTCTATTGCCGGGGCAAAGGATGTGGGACCTGCACATGGGGGCGAGATCATAAGAGGGAGGTTGAAGGACGGCGGTGGGGTGGAGGGAGCGTGAATGGAGGTAAGCAAGGACAGGAATGCAGGAGAGGTACGGAAGCGGCCGGGAATGGGGATACGGGAAGGATGCAGCGGCGGGAGCGCGAGACGAGATAAGAAACTGCATGGAGCAGAAGGGGGGGGACAGCAGCAGCAGCGCACCTGAGAGCTTGACGTGAGGTGCAATGGCCCGGTAGCGTGCTAGCGCCTCTGCAATGCCGTTGCACGGCCGGTTGTCCCGGTTGAATGAGAACACTGCCTTGTCATGCGTTGTGGCTGCTCAATGGGGATGAGGAGGGGGAGTGAGGGAAGAAGGGAGGGTGGAATGAAGGGGAAAGAATGGCGGGGGGGAATGAATGGTGGCAGCCTCGAATGCAGGCTTACTTTCCTGCATGTGCTTGCATGTGTGAACGCATGTGTGAACGCACAGCAAGGCGGAAAGGGAGGGGAGCAAGCAACCCACTGAGCATCACCAACGACGAATGTGACGTCGTCCTGATCGACGAAATCGAGGGCCTCCCCCATGTTCCGAACGGGAGACGTCTCAGGACCAGCCGACTATCACAGAGAGGACAGGAGGGGATGGGGAAGGCACGGACCGTCGCCGAAGCCGAAGGCGGGGATGAGGTTGTCCTCGTCGAAGGGCTCTAGCGTCTCCCCGATGATCTGAATGGCCTGCTCGTACGGGTTCATGTGTGGCCCTATGGCGTGTAGGCACCGCCCGCCAAACGTGTGCTTGCCTGCAGATGCGAACGAAAGGGGCGGGTGGGTGAGAGCGGAACAAGCGAGAGAGTGTGAGGCCGGGGAGGAGCGGAGTGGAGCAACGATGCGGTATCTGGGTGGTTGGAAGGAAAGATCTGACCTGTCCATTCGTTGCTCTTGGTGAAATCAACGGCTACGATTAGATTGCTGGACTCCAGCCCCACCTCTCGCAGCTTCTCCTGCACCTGCCGGCACACGAGCACACGAGCACACGTGACAGGCGAGCACACGAGCACACGAGCACACGTGACAGGCGAGCACACGAGCACACGAGCACACGTGACAGGCGAGCACACGAGCACACGAGCACACGTGACAGGCGAGCACACGAGCACACGTGACAGGCGAGCACACGAGCACACGAGCACACGTGACAGGCGAGCACACGAGCACACGAGCACACGAGCACACGTGACAGGCGAGCACACGAGCACACGAGCACAAGTGACAGGCGAGCAGACGAGTGAGCAGACAGGCGAGGGATGCAGGCAGGCAGGCCAGCAGGCAGGTGCGGGCAGGCGCACAGCCACACATGCGGCATAATGTGCATCCAGCGTTAGCCACCCACGTCGCGCATGCAGCACGCGCCACGGCAATCCAATAACCCGGCCTGCTGCATGTCCCCGCTTACTTCCTTCCTTCTCCTCTCACCTGCGCTCTGCTCGTCATCGTCTCGCCTCACCCTTTGTACTCTCCTTACGCTCTGCTCGTCATCGTCTCGCCTCCCCCTTTGTACTCTCCTTACGCTCTGCTCGTCATCGTCTAGCCTCACCCTTTGTACTCTCCTTACGCTCTGCTCGTCATCGTCTCGCCTCCCCCTTTGTACTCTCCTTATGCTCTGCTCGTCATCGTCTCGCCTCCCCCTTTGTACTCTCCTTACGCTCTGCTCGTCATCGTCTCGCCTCCCCCTTTGTACTCTCCTTACGCTCTGCTCGTCATCGTCTCGCCTCACCCTTTGTACTCTCCTTACGCTCTGCTCGTCATCGTCTCGCCTCCCCCTTTGTACTCTCCTTACGCTCTGCTCGTCATCGTCTCGCCTCACCCTTTGTACTCTCCTTACGCTCTGCTCGTCATCGTCTCGCCTCCCCCTTTGTACTCTCCTTACGCTCTGCTCGTCATCGTCTCGCCTCCCCCTTTGTACTCTCCTTACGCTCTGCTCGTCATCGTCTCGCCTCACCCTTTGTACTCTCCTTACGCTCTGCTCGTCATCGTCTCGCCTCACCCTTTGTAATCTCCTTACGCTCTGCTCGTCATCGTCTCGCCTCCCCCTTTGTACTCTCCTTACGCTCTGCTCGTCATCGTCTCGCCTCACCCTTTGTACTCTCCTTACGCTCTGCTCGTCATCGTCTCGCCTCCCCCTTTGTACTCTCCTTACGCTCTGCTCGTCATCGTCTCGCCTCCCCCTTTGTACTCTCCTTACGCTCTGCTCGTCATCGTCTCGCCTCACCCTTTGTACTCTCCTTACGCTCTGCTCGTCATCGTCTCGCCTCCCCCTTTGTACTCTCCTTACGCTCTGCTCGTCATCGTCTCGCCTCACCCTTTGTACTCTCCTTACGCTCTGCTCGTCATCGTCTCGCCTCCCCCTTTGTACTCTCCTTACGCTCTGCTCGTCATCGTCTCGCCTCACCCTTTGTACTCTCCTTACGCTCTGCTCGTCATCGTCTCGCCTCCCCCTTTGTACTCTCCTTACGCTCTGCTCGTCATCGTCTCGCCTCACCCTTTGTACTCTCCTTACGCTCTGCTCGTCATCGTCTCGCCTCACCCTTTGTACTCTCCTTACGCTCTGCTCGTCATCGTCTCGCCTACCCCTTTGTACTCTCCTTACGCTCTGCTCGTCATCGTCTCGCCTCACCCTTTGTACTCTCCTTACGCTCTGCTCGTCATCGTCTCGCCTCACCCTTTGTACTCTCCTTACGCTCTGCTCGTCATCGTCTCGCCTCCCCCTTTGTACTCTCCTTACGCTCTGCTCGTCATCGTCTCGCCTCACCCTTTGTACTCTCCTTACGCTCTGCTCGTCATCGTCTCGCCTCCCCCTTTGTACTCTCCTTACGCTCTGCTCGTCATCGTCTCGCCTCCCCCTTTGTACTCTCCTTACGCTCTGCTCGTCATCGTCTCGCCTCACCCTTTGTACTCTCCTTACGCTCTGCTCGTCATCGTCTCGCCTCACCCTTTGTACTCTCCTTACGCTCTGCTCGTCATCGTCTCGCCTCCCCCTTTGTACTCTCCTTACGCTCTGCTCGTCATCGTCTCGCCTCACCCTTTGTACTCTCCTTACGCTCTGCTCGTCATCGTCTCGCCTCCCCCTTTGTACTCTCCTTACGCTCTGCTCGTCATCGTCTCGCCTCACCCTTTGTACTCTCCTTACGCTCTGCTCGTCATCGTCTCGCCTCACCCTTTGTACTCTCCTTACGCTCTGCTCGTCATCGTCTCGCCTCCCCCTTTGTACTCTCCTTACGCTCTGCTCGTCATCGTCTCGCCTCCCCCTTTGTACTCTCCTTACGCTCTGCTCGTCATCGTCTCGCCTCACCCTTTGTACTCTCCTTACGCTCTGCTCGTCATCGTCTCGCCTCCCCCTTTGTACTCTCCTTACGCTCTGCTCGTCATCGTCTCGCCTCCCCCTTTGTACTCTCCTTACGCTCTGCTCGTCATCGTCTCGCCTCACCCTTTGTACTCTCCTTACGCTCTGCTCGTCATCGTCTCGCCTCCCCCTTTGTACTCTCCTTACGCTCTGCTCGTCATCGTCTCGCCTCACCCTTTGTACTCTCCTTACGCTCTGCTCGTCATCGTCTCGCCTCACCCTTTGTACTCTCCTTACGCTCTGCTCGTCATCGTCTCGCCTCCCCCTTTGTACTCTCCTTACGCTCTGCTCGTCATCGTCTCGCCTCACCCTTTGTACTCTCCTTACGCTCTGCTCGTCATCGTCTCGCCTCCCCCTTTGTACTCTCCTTACGCTCTGCTCGTCATCGTCTCGCCTCACCCTTTGTACTCTCCTTACGCTCTGCTCGTCATCGTCTCGCCTCACCCTTTGTACTCTCCTTACGCTCTGCTCGTCATCGTCTCGCCTCCCCCTTTGTACTCTCCTTACGCTCTGCTCGTCATCGTCTCGCCTCCCCCTTTGTACTCTCCTTACGCTCTGCTCGTCATCGTCTCGCCTCCCCCTTTGTACTCTCCTTACGCTCTGCTCGTCATCGTCTCGCCTCCCCCTTTGTACTCTCCTTACGCTCTGCTCGTCATCGTCTCGCCTCACCCTTTGTACTCTCCTTACGCTCTGCTCGTCATCGTCTCGCCTCACCCTTTGTACTCTCCTTACGCTCTGCTCGTCATCGTCTCGCCTCACCCTTTGTAATCTCCTTACGCTCTGCTCGTCATCGTCTCGCCTCCCCCTTTGTACTCTCCTTACGCTCTGCTCGTCATCGTCTCGCCTCACCCTTTGTACTCTCCTTACGCTCTGCTCGTCATCGTCTCGCCTCCCCCTTTGTACTCTCCTTACGCTCTGCTCGTCATCGTCTCGCCTCCCCCTTTGTACTCTCCTTACGCTCTGCTCGTCATCGTCTCGCCTCACCCTTTGTACTCTCCTTACGCTCTGCTCGTCATCGTCTCGCCTCCCCTTTGTACTCTCCTTACGCTCTGCTCGTCATCGTCTCGCCTCACCCTTTGTACTCTCCTTACGCTCTGCTCGTCATCGTCTCGCCTCCCCCTTTGTACTCTCCTTACGCTCTGCTCGTCATCGTCTCGCCTCACCCTTTGTACTCTCCTTACGCTCTGCTCGTCATCGTCTCGCCTCCCCCTTTGTACTCTCCTTACGCTCTGCTCGTCATCGTCTCGCCTCACCCTTTGTACTCTCCTTACGCTCTGCTCGTCATCGTCTCGCCTCACCCTTTGTACTCTCCTTACGCTCTGCTCGTCATCGTCTCGCCTACCCCTTTGTACTCTCCTTACGCTCTGCTCGTCATCGTCTCGCCTCACCCTTTGTACTCTCCTTACGCTCTGCTCGTCATCGTCTCGCCTCACCCTTTGTACTCTCCTTACGCTCTGCTCGTCATCGTCTCGCCTCCCCCTTTGTACTCTCCTTACGCTCTGCTCGTCATCGTCTCGCCTCACCCTTTGTACTCTCCTTACGCTCTGCTCGTCATCGTCTCGCCTCCCCCTTTGTACTCTCCTTACGCTCTGCTCGTCATCGTCTCGCCTCCCCCTTTGTACTCTCCTTACGCTCTGCTCGTCATCGTCTCGCCTCACCCTTTGTACTCTCCTTACGCTCTGCTCGTCATCGTCTCGCCTCACCCTTTGTACTCTCCTTACGCTCTGCTCGTCATCGTCTCGCCTCCCCCTTTGTACTCTCCTTACGCTCTGCTCGTCATCGTCTCGCCTCACCCTTTGTACTCTCCTTACGCTCTGCTCGTCATCGTCTCGCCTCCCCCTTTGTACTCTCCTTACGCTCTGCTCGTCATCGTCTCGCCTCACCCTTTGTACTCTCCTTACGCTCTGCTCGTCATCGTCTCGCCTCACCCTTTGTACTCTCCTTACGCTCTGCTCGTCATCGTCTCGCCTCCCCCTTTGTACTCTCCTTACGCTCTGCTCGTCATCGTCTCGCCTCCCCCTTTGTACTCTCCTTACGCTCTGCTCGTCATCGTCTCGCCTCACCCTTTGTACTCTCCTTACGCTCTGCTCGTCATCGTCTCGCCTCCCCCTTTGTACTCTCCTTACGCTCTGCTCGTCATCGTCTCGCCTCCCCCTTTGTACTCTCCTTACGCTCTGCTCGTCATCGTCTCGCCTCACCCTTTGTACTCTCCTTACGCTCTGCTCGTCATCGTCTCGCCTCCCCCTTTGTACTCTCCTTACGCTCTGCTCGTCATCGTCTCGCCTCACCCTTTGTACTCTCCTTACGCTCTGCTCGTCATCGTCTCGCCTCACCCTTTGTACTCTCCTTACGCTCTGCTCGTCATCGTCTCGCCTCCCCCTTTGTACTCTCCTTACGCTCTGCTCGTCATCGTCTCGCCTCCCCCTTTGTACTCTCCTTACGCTCTGCTCGTCATCGTCTCGCCTCACCCTTTGTACTCTCCTTACGCTCTGCTCGTCATCGTCTCGCCTCACCCTTTGTACTCTCCTTACGCTCTGCTCGTCATCGTCTCGCCTCCCCCTTTGTACTCTCCTTACGCTCTGCTCGTCATCGTCTCGCCTCACCCTTTGTACTCTCCTTACGCTCTGCTCGTCATCGTCTCGCCTCCCCCTTTGTACTCTCCTTACGCTCTGCTCGTCATCGTCTCGCCTCACCCTTTGTACTCTCCTTACGCTCTGCTCGTCATCGTCTCGCCTCCCCCTTTGTACTCTCCTTACGCTCTGCTCGTCATCGTCTCGCCTCACCCTTTGTACTCTCCTTACGCTCTGCTCGTCATCGTCTCGCCTCCCCCTTTGTACTCTCCTTACGCTCTGCTCGTCATCGTCTCGCCTCCCCCTTTGTACTCTCCTTACGCTCTGCTCGTCATCGTCTCGCCTCACCCTTTGTACTCTCCTTACGCTCTGCTCGTCATCGTCTCGCCTCCCCCTTTGTACTCTCCTTACGCTCTGCTCGTCATCGTCTCGCCTCACCCTTTGTACTCTCCTTACGCTCTGCTCGTCATCGTCTCGCCTCACCCTTTGTACTCTCCTTACGCTCTGCTCGTCATCGTCTCGCCTCCCCCTTTGTACTCTCCTTACGCTCTGCTCGTCATCGTCTCGCCTCACCCTTTGTACTCTCCTTACGCTCTGCTCGTCATCGTCTCGCCTCCCCCTTTGTACTCTCCTTACGCTCTGCTCGTCATCGTCTCGCCTCCCCCTTTGTACTCTCCTTACGCTCTGCTCGTCATCGTCTCGCCTCACCCTTTGTACTCTCCTTACGCTCTGCTCGTCATCGTCTCGCCTCACCCTTTGTACTCTCCTTACGCTCTGCTCGTCATCGTCTCGCCTCCCCCTTTGTACTCTCCTTACGCTCTGCTCGTCATCGTCTCGCCTCACCCTTTGTACTCTCCTTACGCTCTGCTCGTCATCGTCTCGCCTCCCCCTTTGTACTCTCCTTACGCTCTGCTCGTCATCGTCTAGCCTCACCCTTTGTACTCTCCTTACGCTCTGCTCGTCATCGTCTCGCCTCCCCCTTTGTACTCTCCTTATGCTCTGCTCGTCATCGTCTCGCCTCCCCCTTTGTACTCTCCTTACGCTCTGCTCGTCATCGTCTCGCCTCCCCCTTTGTACTCTCCTTACGCTCTGCTCGTCATCGTCTCGCCTCACCCTTTGTACTCTCCTTACGCTCTGCTCGTCATCGTCTCGCCTCCCCCTTTGTACTCTCCTTACGCTCTGCTCGTCATCGTCTCGCCTCACCCTTTGTACTCTCCTTACGCTCTGCTCGTCATCGTCTCGCCTCCCCCTTTGTACTCTCCTTACGCTCTGCTCGTCATCGTCTCGCCTCACCCTTTGTACTCTCCTTACGCTCTGCTCGTCATCGTCTCGCCTCACCCTTTGTACTCTCCTTACGCTCTGCTCGTCATCGTCTCGCCTCACCCTTTGAACTCTCCTTACGCTCTGCTCGTCATCGTCTCGCCTCCCCCTTTGTACTCTCCTTACGCTCTGCTCGTCATCGTCTCGCCTCCCCCTTTGTACTCTCCTTACGCTCTGCTCGTCATCGTCTCGCCTCACCCTTTGTACTCTCCTTACGCTCTGCTCGTCATCGTCTCGCCTCCCCCTTTGTACTCTCCTTACGCTCTGCTCGTCATCGTCTCGCCTCACCCTTTGTACTCTCCTTACGCTCTGCTCGTCATCGTCTCGCCTCCCCCTTTGTACTCTCCTTACGCTCTGCTCGTCATCGTCTCGCCTCCCCCTTTGTACTCTCCTTACGCTCTGCTCGTCATCGTCTCGCCTCACCCTTGGTACTCTCCTTACGCTCTGCTCGTCATCGTCTCGCCTCCCCCTTTGTACTCTCCTTACGCTCTGCTCGTCATCGTCTCGCCTCCCCCTTTGTACTCTCCTTACGCTCTGCTCGTCATCGTCTCGCCTCCCCCTTTGTACTCTCCTTACGCTCTGCTCGTCATCGTCTCGCCTCACCCTTTGTACTCTCCTTACGCTCTGCTCGTCATCGTCTCGCCTCACCCTTTGTACTCTCCTTACGCTCTGCTCGTCATCGTCTCGCCTCCCCCTTTGTACTCTCCTTACGCTCTGCTCGTCATCGTCTCGCCTCACCCTTTGTACTCTCCTTACGCTCTGCTCGTCATCGTCTCGCCTCCCCCTTTGTACTCTCCTTACGCTCTGCTCGTCATCGTCTCGCCTCACCCTTTGTACTCTCCTTACGCTCTGCTCGTCATCGTCTCGCCTCACCCTTTGTACTCTCCTTACGCTCTGCTCGTCATCGTCTCGCCTCCCCCTTTGTACTCTCCTTACGCTCTGCTCGTCATCGTCTCGCCTCCCCCTTTGTACTCTCCTTACGCTCTGCTCGTCATCGTCTCGCCTCCCCCTTTGTACTCTCCTTACGCTCTGCTCGTCATCGTCTCGCCTCACCCTTTGTACTCTCCTTACGCTCTGCTCGTCATCGTCTCGCCTCCCCCTTTGTACTCTCCTTACGCTCTGCTCGTCATCGTCTCGCCTCCCCCTTTGTACTCTCCTTACGCTCTGCTCGTCATCGTCTCGCCTCCCCCTTTGTACTCTCCTTACGCTCTGCTCGTCATCGTCTCGCCTCACCCTTTGTACTCTCCTTACGCTCTGCTCGTCATCGTCTCGCCTCACCCTTTGTACTCTCCTTACGCTCTGCTCGTCATCGTCTCGCCTCCCCCTTTGTACTCTCCTTACGCTCTGCTCGTCATCGTCTCGCCTCCCCCTTTGTACTCTCCTTACGCTCTGCTCGTCATCGTCTCGCCTCCCCCTTTGTACTCTCCTTACGCTCTGCTCGTCATCGTCTCGCCTCACCCTTTGTACTCTCCTTACGCTCTGCTCGTCATCGTCTCGCCTCCCCCTTTGTACTCTCCTTACGCTCTGCTCGTCATCGTCTCGCCTCCCCCTTTGTACTCTCCTTACGCTCTGCTCGTCATCGTCTCGCCTCCCCCTTTGTACTCTCCTTACGCTCTGCTCGTCATCGTCTCGCCTCACCCTTTGTACTCTCCTTACGCTCTGCTCGTCATCGTCTTGCCTCCCCCTTTGTACTCTCCTTACGCTCTGCTCGTCATCGTCTCGCCTCCCCCTTTGTACTCTCCTTACGCTCTGCTCGTCATCGTCTCGCCTCACCCTTTGTACTCTCCTTACGCTCTGCTCGTCATCGTCTCGCCTCCCCCTTTGTACTCTCCTTACGCTCTGCTCGTCATCGTCTCGCCTCCCCCTTTGTACTCTCCTTACGCTCTGCTCGTCATCGTCTCGCCTCACCCTTTGTACTCTCCTTACGCTCTGCTCGTCATCGTCTCGCCTCACCCTTTGTACTCTCCTTACGCTCTGCTCGTCATCGTCTCGCCTCACCCTTTGTACTCTCCTTACGCTCTGCTCGTCATCGTCTCGCCTCCCCCTTTGTACTCTCCTTACGCTCTGCTCGTCATCGTCTCGCCTCACCCTTTGTACTCTCCTTACGCTCTGCTCGTCATCGTCTCGCCTCACCCTTTGTACTCTCCTTACGCTCTGCTCGTCATCGTCTCGCCTCCCCCTTTGTACTCTCCTTACGCTCTGCTCGTCATCGTCTCGCCTCCCCCCTTTGTACTCTCCTTACGCTCTGCTCGTCATCGTCTCGCCTCCCCCTTTGTACTCTCCTTACGCTCTGCTCGTCATCGTCTCGCCTCACCCTTTGTACTCTCCTTACGCTCTGCTCGTCATCGTCTCGCCTCACCCTTTGTACTCTCCTTACGCTCTGCTCGTCATCGTCTCGCCTCCCCCTTTGTACTCTCCTTACGCTCTGCTCGTCATCGTCTCGCCTCCCCCTTTGTACTCTCCTTACGCTCTGCTCGTCATCGTCTCGCCTCCCCCTTTGTACTCTCCTTACGCTCTGCTCGTCATCGTCTCGCCTCCCCCTTTGTACTCTCCTTACGCTCTGCTCGTCATCGTCTCGCCTCACCCTTTGTACTCTCCTTACGCTCTGCTCGTCATCGTCTCGCCTCCCCCTTTGTACTCTCCTTACGCTCTGCTCGTCATCGTCTCGCCTCACCCTTTGTACTCTCCTTACGCTCTGCTCGTCATCGTCTCGCCTCCCCCTTTGTACTCTCCTTACGCTCTGCTCGTCATCGTCTCGCCTCACCCTTTGTACTCTCCTTACGCTCTGCTCGTCATCGTCTCGCCTCACCCTTTGTACTCTCCTTACGCTCTGCTCGTCATCGTCTCGCCTCCCCCTTTGTACTCTCCTTACGCTCTGCTCGTCATCGTCTCGCCTCCCCCTTTGTACTCTCCTTACGCTCTGCTCGTCATCGTCTCGCCTCACCCTTTGTACTCTCCTTACGCTCTGCTCGTCATCGTCTCGCCTCCCCCTTTGTACTCTCCTTACGCTCTGCTCGTCATCGTCTCGCCTCCCCCTTTGTACTCTCCTTACGCTCTGCTCGTCATCGTCTCGCCTCCCCCTTTGTACTCTCCTTACGCTCTGCTCGTCATCGTCTCGCCTCACCCTTTGTACTCTCCTTACGCTCTGCTCGTCATCGTCTCGCCTCACCCTTTGTACTCTCCTTACGCTCTGCTCGTCATCGTCTCGCCTCCCCCTTTGTACTCTCCTTACGCTCTGCTCGTCATCGTCTCGCCTCACCCTTTGAACTCTCCTTACGCTCTGCTCGTCATCGTCTCGCCTCCCCCTTTGTACTCTCCTTACGCTCTGCTCGTCATCGTCTCGCCTCCCCCTTTGTACTCTCCTTACGCTCTGCTCGTCATCGTCTCGCCTCACCCTTTGTACTCTCCTTACGCTCTGCTCGTCATCGTCTCGCCTCCCCCTTTGTACTCTCCTTACGCTCTGCTCGTCATCGTCTCGCCTCACCCTTTGTACTCTCCTTACGCTCTGCTCGTCATCGTCTCGCCTCACCCTTTGTACTCTCCTTACGCTCTGCTCGTCATCGTCTCGCCTCCCCCTTTGTACTCTCCTTACGCTCTGCTCGTCATCGTCTCGCCTCACCCTTTGTACTCTCCTTACGCTCTGCTCGTCATCGTCTCGCCTCCCCCTTTGTACTCTCCTTACGCTCTGCTCGTCATCGTCTCGCCTCACCCTTTGTACTCTCCTTACGCTCTGCTCGTCATCGTCTCGCCTCCCCCTTTGTACTCTCCTTACGCTCTGCTCGTCATCGTCTCGCCTCCCCCTTTGTACTCTCCTTACGCTCTGCTCGTCATCGTCTCGCCTCCCCCTTTGTACTCTCCTTACGCTCCGCTCGTCATCGTCTCGCCTCACCCTTTGTACTCTCCTTACGCTCTGCTCGTCATCGTCTCGCCTCACCCTTTGTACTCTCCTTACGCTCTGCTCGTCATCGTCTCGCCTCCCCCTTTGTACTCTCCTTACGCTCTGCTCGTCATCGTCTCGCCTCACCCTTTGTACTCTCCTTACGCTCTGCTCGTCATCGTCTCGCCTCCCCCTTTGTACTCTCCTTACGCTCTGCTCGTCATCGTCTCGCCTCACCCTTTGTACTCTCCTTACGCTCTGCTCGTCATCGTCTCGCCTCCCCCTTTGTACTCTCCTTACGCTCTGCTCGTCATCGTCTCGCCTCACCCTTTGTACTCTCCTTACGCTCTGCTCGTCATCGTCTCGCCTCCCCCTTTGTACTCTCCTTACGCTCTGCTCGTCATCGTCTCGCCTCCCCCTTTGTACTCTCCTTACGCTCTGCTCGTCATCGTCTCGCCTCACCCTTTGTACTCTCCTTACGCTCTGCTCGTCATCGTCTCGCCTCCCCCTTTGTACTCTCCTTACGCTCTGCTCGTCATCGTCTCGCCTCACCCTTTGTACTCTCCTTACGCTCTGCTCGTCATCGTCTCGCCTCCCCCTTTGTACTCTCCTTACGCTCTGCTCGTCATCGTCTCGCCTCACCCTTTGTACTCTCCTTACGCTCTGCTCGTCATCGTCTCGCCTCACCCTTTGTACTCTCCTTACGCTCTGCTCGTCATCGTCTCGCCTCCCCCTTTGTACTCTCCTTACGCTCTGCTCGTCATCGTCTCGCCTCACCCTTTGTACTCTCCTTACGCTCTGCTCGTCATCGTCTCGCCTCCCCCTTTGTACTCTCCTTACGCTCTGCTCGTCATCGTCTCGCCTCACCCTTTGTACTCTCCTTACGCTCTGCTCGTCATCGTCTCGCCTCCCCCTTTGTACTCTCCTTACGCTCTGCTCGTCATCGTCTCGCCTCACCCTTTGTACTCTCCTTACGCTCTGCTCGTCATCGTCTCGCCTCCCCCTTTGTACTCTCCTTACGCTCTGCTCGTCATCGTCTCGCCTCACCCTTTGTACTCTCCTTACGCTCTGCTCGTCATCGTCTCGCCTCACCCTTTGTACTCTCCTTACGCTCTGCTCGTCATCGTCTCGCCTCCCCCTTTGTACTCTCCTTACGCTCTGCTCGTCATCGTCTCGCCTCACCCTTTGAACTCTCCTTACGCTCTGCTCGTCATCGTCTCGCCTCCCCCTTTGTACTCTCCTTACGCTCTGCTCGTCATCGTCTCGCCTCCCCCTTTGTACTCTCCTTACGCTCTGCTCGTCATCGTCTCGCCTCACCCTTTGTACTCTCCTTACGCTCTGCTCGTCATCGTCTCGCCTCCCCCTTTGTACTCTCCTTACGCTCTGCTCGTCATCGTCTCGCCTCACCCTTTGTACTCTCCTTACGCTCTGCTCGTCATCGTCTCGCCTCCCCCTTTGTACTCTCCTTACGCTCTGCTCGTCATCGTCTCGCCTCCCCCTTTGTACTCTCCTTACGCTCTGCTCGTCATCGTCTCGCCTCACCCTTTGTACTCTCCTTACGCTCTGCTCGTCATCGTCTCGCCTCCCCCTTTGTACTCTCCTTACGCTCTGCTCGTCATCGTCTCGCCTCCCCCTTTGTACTCTCCTTACGCTCTGCTCGTCATCGTCTCGCCTCCCCCTTTGTACTCTCCTTACGCTCTGCTCGTCATCGTCTCGCCTCACCCTTTGTACTCTCCTTACGCTCTGCTCGTCATCGTCTCGCCTCACCCTTTGTACTCTCCTTACGCTCTGCTCGTCATCGTCTCGCCTCCCCCTTTGTACTCTCCTTACGCTCTGCTCGTCATCGTCTCGCCTCACCCTTTGTACTCTCCTTACGCTCTGCTCGTCATCGTCTCGCCTCCCCCTTTGTACTCTCCTTACGCTCTGCTCGTCATCGTCTCGCCTCACCCTTTGTACTCTCCTTACGCTCTGCTCGTCATCGTCTCGCCTCACCCTTTGTACTCTCCTTACGCTCTGCTCGTCATCGTCTCGCCTCCCCCTTTGTACTCTCCTTACGCTCTGCTCGTCATCGTCTCGCCTCCCCCTTTGTACTCTCCTTACGCTCTGCTCGTCATCGTCTCGCCTCCCCCTTTGTACTCTCCTTACGCTCTGCTCGTCATCGTCTCGCCTCACCCTTTGTACTCTCCTTACGCTCTGCTCGTCATCGTCTCGCCTCCCCCTTTGTACTCTCCTTACGCTCTGCTCGTCATCGTCTCGCCTCACCCTTTGTACTCTCCTTACGCTCTGCTCGTCATCGTCTCGCCTCACCCTTTGTACTCTCCTTACGCTCTGCTCGTCATCGTCTCGCCTCCCCCTTTGTACTCTCCTTACGCTCTGCTCGTCATCGTCTCGCCTCACCCTTTGTACTCTCCTTACGCTCTGCTCGTCATCGTCTCGCCTCCCCCTTTGTACTCTCCTTACGCTCTGCTCGTCATCGTCTCGCCTCCCCCTTTGTACTCTCCTTACGCTCTGCTCGTCATCGTCTCGCCTCACCCTTTGTACTCTCCTTACGCTCTGCTCGTCATCGTCTCGCCTCCCCCTTTGTACTCTCCTTACGCTCTGCTCGTCATCGTCTCGCCTCACCCTTTGTACTCTCCTTACGCTCTGCTCGTCATCGTCTCGCCTCACCCTTTGTACTCTCCTTACGCTCTGCTCGTCATCGTCTCGCCTCCCCCTTTGTACTCTCCTTACGCTCTGCTCGTCATCGTCTCGCCTCACCCTTTGTACTCTCCTTACGCTCTGCTCGTCATCGTCTCGCCTCCCCCTTTGTACTCTCCTTACGCTCTGCTCGTCATCGTCTCGCCTCACCCTTTGTACTCTCCTTACGCTCTGCTCGTCATCGTCTCGCCTCACCCTTTGTACTCTCCTTACGCTCTGCTCGTCATCGTCTCGCCTCACCCTTTGTACTCTCCTTACGCTCTGCTCGTCATCGTCTCGCCTCCCCCTTTGTACTCTCCTTACGCTCTGCTCGTCATCGTCTCGCCTCCCCCTTTGTACTCTCCTTACGCTCTGCTCGTCATCGTCTCGCCTCCCCCTTTGTACTCTCCTTACGCTCCGCTCGTCATCGTCTCGCCTCACCCTTTGTACTCTCCTTACGCTCTGCTCGTCATCGTCTCGCCTCACCCTTTGTACTCTCCTTACGCTCTGCTCGTCATCGTCTCGCCTCCCCCTTTGTACTCTCCTTACGCTCTGCTCGTCATCGTCTCGCCTCACCCTTTGTACTCTCCTTACGCTCTGCTCGTCATCGTCTCGCCTCCCCCTTTGTACTCTCCTTACGCTCTGCTCGTCATCGTCTCGCCTCACCCTTTGTACTCTCCTTACGCTCTGCTCGTCATCGTCTCGCCTCCCCCTTTGTACTCTCCTTACGCTCTGCTCGTCATCGTCTCGCCTCCCCCTTTGTACTCTCCTTACGCTCTGCTCGTCATCGTCTCGCCTCCCCCTTTGTACTCTCCTTACGCTCTGCTCGTCATCGTCTCGCCTCACCCTTTGTACTCTCCTTACGCTCTGCTCGTCATCGTCTCGCCTCCCCCTTTGTACTCTCCTTACGCTCTGCTCGTCATCGTCTCGCCTCCCCCTTTGTACTCTCCTTACGCTCTGCTCGTCATCGTCTCGCCTCCCCCTTTGTACTCTCCTTACGCTCTGCTCGTCATCGTCTCGCCTCACCCTTTGTACTCTCCTTACGCTCTGCTCGTCATCGTCTCGCCTCACCCTTTGTACTCTCCTTACGCTCTGCTCGTCATCGTCTCGCCTCCCCCTTTGTACTCTCCTTACGCTCTGCTCGTCATCGTCTCGCCTCACCCTTTGTACTCTCCTTACGCTCTGCTCGTCATCGTCTCGCCTCCCCCTTTGTACTCTCCTTACGCTCTGCTCGTCATCGTCTCGCCTCACCCTTTGTACTCTCCTTACGCTCTGCTCGTCATCGTCTCGCCTCCCCCTTTGTACTCTCCTTACGCTCTGCTCGTCATCGTCTCGCCTCCCCCTTTGTACTCTCCTTACGCTCTGCTCGTCATCGTCTCGCCTCCCCCTTTGTACTCTCCTTACGCTCTGCTCGTCATCGTCTCGCCTCACCCTTTGTACTCTCCTTACGCTCTGCTCGTCATCGTCTCGCCTCCCCCTTTGTACTCTCCTTACGCTCTGCTCGTCATCGTCTCGCCTCCCCCTTTGTACTCTCCTTACGCTCTGCTCGTCATCGTCTCGCCTCCCCCTTTGTACTCTCCTTACGCTCTGCTCGTCATCGTCTCGCCTCACCCTTTGTACTCTCCTTACGCTCTGCTCGTCATCGTCTCGCCTCACCCTTTGTACTCTCCTTACGCTCTGCTCGTCATCGTCTCGCCTCCCCCTTTGTACTCTCCTTACGCTCTGCTCGTCATCGTCTCGCCTCCCCCTTTGTACTCTCCTTACGCTCTGCTCGTCATCGTCTCGCCTCACCCTTTGTACTCTCCTTACGCTCTGCTCGTCATCGTCTCGCCTCCCCCTTTGTACTCTCCTTACGCTCTGCTCGTCATCGTCTCGCCTCACCCTTTGTACTCTCCTTACGCTCTGCTCGTCATCGTCTCGCCTCACCCTTTGTACTCTCCTTACGCTCTGCTCGTCATCGTCTCGCCTCACCCTTTGTACTCTCCTTACGCTCTGCTCGTCATCGTCTCGCCTCCCCCTTTGTACTCTCCTTACGCTCTGCTCGTCATCGTCTCGCCTCACCCTTTGTACTCTCCTTACGCTCTGCTCGTCATCGTCTCGCCTCCCCCTTTGTACTCTCCTTACGCTCTGCTCGTCATCGTCTCGCCTCACCCTTTGTACTCTCCTTACGCTCTGCTCGTCATCGTCTCGCCTCACCCTTTGTACTCTCCTTACGCTCTGCTCGTCATCGTCTCGCCTCCCCCTTTGTACTCTCCTTACGCTCTGCTCGTCATCGTCTCGCCTCACCCTTTGTACTCTCCTTACGCTCTGCTCGTCATCGTCTCGCCTCCCCCTTTGTACTCTCCTTACGCTCTGCTCGTCATCGTCTCGCCTCACCCTTTGTACTCTCCTTACGCTCTGCTCGTCATCGTCTCGCCTCCCCCTTTGTACTCTCCTTACGCTCTGCTCGTCATCGTCTCGCCTCACCCTTTGTACTCTCCTTACGCTCTGCTCGTCATCGTCTCGCCTCCCCCTTTGTACTCTCCTTACGCTCTGCTCGTCATCGTCTCGCCTCCCCCTTTGTACTCTCCTTACGCTCTGCTCGTCATCGTCTCGCCTCACCCTTTGTACTCTCCTTACGCTCTGCTCGTCATCGTCTCGCCTCACCCTTTGTACTCTCCTTACGCTCTGCTCGTCATCGTCTCGCCTCCCCCTTTGTACTCTCCTTACGCTCTGCTCGTCATCGTCTCGCCTCCCCCTTTGTACTCTCCTTACGCTCTGCTCGTCATCGTCTCGCCTCACCCTTTGTACTCTCCTTACGCTCTGCTCGTCATCGTCTCGCCTCCCCCTTTGTACTCTCCTTACGCTCTGCTCGTCATCGTCTCGCCTCACCCTTTGTACTCTCCTTACGCTCTGCTCGTCATCGTCTCGCCTCACCCTTTGTACTCTCCTTACGCTCTGCTCGTCATCGTCTCGCCTCACCCTTTGTACTCTCCTTACGCTCTGCTCGTCATCGTCTCGCCTCCCCCTTTGTACTCTCCTTACGCTCTGCTCGTCATCGTCTCGCCTCCCCCTTTGTACTCTCCTTACGCTCTGCTCGTCATCGTCTCGCCTCCCCCTTTGTACTCTCCTTACGCTCTGCTCGTCATCGTCTCGCCTCACCCTTTGTACTCTCCTTACCCACCCCCACTACCTGCTGAATGTTCTGGAACGAATCTGGAATGAAACCGTACTTCTGCTGAAACGTCATCTGCGCCCTCCCCCCGCCGCCGCCCCCTGCTGCCCCGCCGTATCCCCCCGCCTGCCCATACCCTCCCGGCGCTCCGCCATAGCCAGCAGGCGGCGGCGCAGCTGGCGCGTAGCCGCCCTGCGCGTACTCCACGGGGGGAGGGTATCCGGGCTGGCCGGCCGGCGGCGGTTGCGGCTGCTGCTGCTGCGGCTTGCCCTTTTTGAAAAAGCCGAACATAGGGACGCGCCGGGGGTGACTTAAATCGAAAAGAGGGAAAAAGGAAGTGGTAACGGCGATGAGGAGGAGGACGAGAGCGGAGGACGAAACGAGCTGGCGAAACGATGAACGCGAAGAAGTGAGAGGAAGACGAACGGATCGAACGCTGAGGAGATTCCGAGCTAGTAGGTAAGGGGATCAGTGTAAGTTGCAGTAAATTTTGATTCGTGTGAGCAACAAACGACAGGAGGTGGCGGCAGGTATGTACTCGCTGCGAGGAGAGGCGATTTCGACGCGCGCTGCTGTCGTCTCGCCCTCGCGACGAGCGGCGCAAACGAAAACGACACGGACCGGGCGATGAGGGAAATGCGCTGTATGTGCGTGAGACGCGTTGATGAGCTGCGATCCGAGACGAGGCAAGCGACAGACAGTCTTCCTTGTCACGCTACTGGGATGGTGCTCGCAGCTTCACCTTGGGAGGGCCAGTAGCTTCGGACGAGGTGCAAGGGTGGACAGCGCGGATTGGTTCGAACATGCGGAACTGCGGAGTGCTTTACTGTGGGAACCTCGATATAGAGCTGCACGACGAATAGTGCACATCTGAAGTTTCTACGAAAAAATTAGTCAAAATTTGCAACATTATTAACCCTGCATACAGCAGCCTACTTGGGGTACATTCCTGTGGAGACACTTGTGTCTGAAACACTTTGTGATGCGCAAAGAATGCATATAACGTACTGTGTCACAAACGCGGACCGCAGTAATGCGATCCTCACTGTATTTTACATTGGTCGGCGTGAATTGCGCAGGTGTCGCGGACGAGTTACACGAGGCCCCGTCACCTCCTAAAAATCGCACACGTGTCGAAATGTCACACTGTACAGCATGCACCTGGACGCCCGAAATGGGCAAATTTCGGGCGGGAAAGGAAACCGCTCTGCCCGAGCTGACAGCTGAGTGGTGGATGGAACCACACGGTCACGTCCCTGCCCTGCTGCGCAAGCCGTTCCAACCAGGGTGACAGCTCCCTCCCGTTCCAATCTATTCCTGTACTCCAAACCCCATCTCTCTACTTCGTGTTTCTTGCATTCTCTTCCACGCCGTAGCCATGGCTCGTAAGCGCAAGAGCGTAGCTAGTAGTGCCGAGCTGTGCCCGCGGGATCTCAACGAGATCCCGTACATCGCTTGGATGAACAAGCAGATTGCTGCCGGCCGTAAGCCCGCCGGCCCTTTGCCCGATGGTGCGCCGGGTGCGGGGGACACCTCGTTCGAAGCCCCGCGCGATGTCCCTACCCGTGGGCGCCGTGATGCCGACCGGGTTGCATCTTCCCGCGTCGTTGACGACGACCCCTTCGATGACGACGCAGAGGACTCCGACAAAAACGACTGCGACGACGATGCGGACTCTGGTGAAGAGGAAGACAAGGGCATGTCCCCCTCCGGAGATGACGACGACGCCGAGGAGGACACCGACGACGACGAGGAGGTGCACGAGGAGGCCCAGCCTGCTACCCCGTCTCCCCGTCGCTCCCGTGCTACTGCCGCGGCCGGAACCAAGACTGCCGCGAAGGGCGGGGAACCTCCGCGTGCCGCTGCCAAGAACCGCAACCTGCACCCTGTCAAGCGGAGCGTGTGGTCCCACCGCGAGAGCACGATCTTCGTGGCGGCACGTTGGTGTCAGAATGTTATCATTGTCTAGCCTGCAGTGGGGTACTCTATAGCGAGTACAACCCAATTAGGGTTTCCTATATGTATGCTTACTGCTGCTAGTGCAATCTCTCCTTCCTTCATTTCTGTTTCTGCCTGCTGATTCTGACATGCTATCAGAGCAGGTCGACCCTCCTGGGTCGATCCTGTGGGTGGGCCCCACCCGATGCTTCCGCTGCTCTACTGCTGTCGCGCGCCCCGGGCGCGCGACCCTTTCTTCCTGCCGCGCACTCGGAGCGCGCGGCGTTTTTCATCCCGCCGTGCGCTCGGGGCGTGCGGCGGTTTTCTGCCCGCCGTGGCGCCCCCGGGGACCTGCGCGCTGCCCCTCCCCGTCGCCCGTCGCGGTGCCCTGGGGGCCCGCGCGTCGCCCTCCTCCCGTCGCCTCGTCGCGGCGCCCTGGGGGCCCGCGCGCCGGCCCCTCCCGTCGCCTCGTCGCGGCGCCTTGGGGGCCCGCGCGCCGGCCCCTCCCGTCGCCTCGTCGCGGCGCCTTGGGGGCCCGCGCGCCGGCCCCTCCCGTCGCCTCGTCGCGGCGCCTTGGGGGCCTGCGCGTCGCCCCCTCCCGTCGCCTCGTCGCGGCGCCTTGGGGGCCCGCGCGCGGCCCCTCCCGTCGCCCGTCGAGCCGCCCTCGTGGGCCCGTGCGCGGCCCCCCTCCCGTCACCCGCCGTGGCGCCCTCGGGGGGCCCGCGCCCTGCTCCTTCGTGGCGCCCAGGAGACCCCCCCGCCGCCTCCCTTTCCCTCTGTGACCCGCCCCTGCTGCTTCCCGCGCTCCTACCTGCGTTAGGGTTTGGGGGTGGCGGGCATGGGGGTGACCGGTGTGGGTAACCTGCAGCTCCTCCTCCTCCTCCGTCTCCCACTGCTGCAGCTGCCGCTGAGGGGGGTGGGTGTGTGGGAGCCGGGGGTTTAGGGTTTAAGGGGGGTGATGTGGGAGTGGAGCTAGGGGTACAACAAGGGGTGTGTGAAAGAGGGGTGGGACAGTTGGGGGAAGTTGCGTGGAGGCTGCCGTCGTGTCGCCTGCATCGCCAGTAGTCCGGAGCCTGTCTTGCTCTCGGTAGCGCAGAGAGCCTGCTGCGCCTGTCGCCCGTGGGTCCGTTGCTTCTGCCGCGCCGCAGAGCCAGTTACTCCCTGTAGTCCGGGGCGCTGTCCCGGTAGCCACTGTGCCAGCCGCTCCTGTTGCCCGTGTGTCTGCAGCTTCAGCCGTCGCCTCCCATCTCCTCTCCTCTCACAGTCCAGCCTCCTCCTCCTCACGTGCCCGTTGTGAATGCCTCTAGCTTTGCTTGCCCTTGTGAACTTGCTCTATGACTGCTTGCTCTGCTGATTATACCCCACTTTGACTATGGGGGTGTGTCAGAATGTTATCATTGTCTAGCCTGCAGTGGGGTACTCTATAGCGAGTACAACCCAATTAGGGTTTCCTATATGTATGCCTACTGCTGCTAGTGCAATCTCTCCTTCCTTCATTTCTGTTTCTGCCTGCTGATTCTGACAGTTGGTTCATGAAGGACGAGCTCGGGAAGCTCCTCGGGAAGCAGGGATCCCAGTACTGGGCCCGCCTCGCGCGCCATCTCGAGGAGGAGAATCCCGGGTGGGTGCGTGGCGTGAATGCGCTGCAGAAGCAGTGGCGCAACCTCGTCAGCATGTACAAGCAGATTAGTAAGGGGGAGCGTGCGAGCGGCAAGGGGGCGGTGTGCAAGCCCCCTTGGTACCCGTACATGGAGCTCTACCAGAACAACAAGGCGGTCGGCAACCCGCACGCCGTCGACGGTGGTGGCGCGGCACACGTCAACGTGCCGTGCGGGTTCGCGGTCCCGTCCACATCTGCACCTTGCACCTCGACCCCGACATTCACGGGTGAGATTGCGCTGTTCGACGGGTGTTTTGTTTGTGGTTGTGCATGTCTGACATATTGTTTTTACAATGGGATCTTTCCGTTAACACGATTGTTCGCACCACACATCTTGTAATGATTACAATGCATCTCGCATGTGCAGCTCCACCTCCGCAGGGTACGCCCACCTCCAAGCGCCCACGGGTGGCAGAGACGGCAACGATGGCCGCCGCCAAGCTGGTGTGTGAGACAATCAAGGGGTGCCACTCTGACGCGATGAACAGGCTCGAAGGCCTCGTCCGCGCATGGATGGAGCAGGACGCGCGGATTTCCCGCGAACGCGTGCAGCAGCAGGCCCCATACCCGCCTGCCAGCGACGGCTTCCCCGGGCACGCGGACAACATGCCCGCAACTCACGCCGCCGAAGGCGGCGACGACGGCTGGCTCCGTCGCGGGCAGGCGGGCGACAGCGCCTCTAACCCTGATGCGGGCGAGGAGGTGTGGGTTCGCGGCGCCGCCGAGTGAGGTAAGACGACTCCAGAGCCTCGCCCAGCCGCTTGCGCCTTTCTCTCAGATTCGCCTGCGTGTTCGGATTGCATGGCTCCCACTTGAAATCAGCGACTGCGCCACGCGTCCACCACGGGTCCCGGTTTCGGGGCAAGTTTGCCCACGAAGCATTGACTCGCCTAACGGCCCCCATTGTCTCACACATATTGTGCAGGATGACGCCACAAGACGCCCCTGCAAGAATGCGCCAGAGCTTGCAATCATTGCAGCCCGCGAAAAGACGCCACCGGCCTTTGAAGGCGCCGATGCAGCGCTCTACTGCCATGCGCGTTGCGCTCTGGCAGTAGTTAAAGCACTGCTCCAAGTCATCCATTAGGCCTTCACGGGGTGCATGTAGGGGGGTCAGACAGAAATCCCTGAGTGGGTAGGCTGTATCTCCCACTATTTGGTATGGCGCTATGTCGCCGTTGTGCAACCTTTCGTGTAACTCGCTGTTCATGAACACCCTCTGATCGTGTGCACTGCCCGGGTATCCGATCAAATAGTCCCAAATGATTCCGCGCGCATCGCATGTGAGCTGCAGCTGGACAGCGTAGCATGACTTGCGCGTGTAGTACTCCTGCATGTGCCCCTCCATCCCCTTCATGTGCTCGTGTGTGCCGTCTATAGCCCCCACTACTGCAGGGACTCCTTTGATGGCGCGGAACTCCTCCGCCATCTCGTCGAGGTCGTTACGGGTCGGGAAGTGGACCCACTGCTGCTTGAAGACGAAGGGGAAGTGCATGAGCAGAGCGTCAACAAGCATGTGGCACAGGGTCTTGGAGAGGTCGAAGACGAGAGACAAGTCCACGAACGACATGCCGGTGGCCAGGTATTTGATAGCGACCAGGCATGCCACCTCGTGGCTAATGAGATATCTGTCCACGTACGGCTGCATGTAGATCGCCATCCCGACTACAATGTAATCTAGGATGGCGCGGTTAATGCGGAACAAGTTTCTGAATTCGTCCTTCCCCATGCCTTCCAGGTCCTCTAGCAGCATGTGGTACCTCCTCCGGCGAAGCCCTGACCTTCTATTCCGCTCGGCTGTTCAGTTGGAGCCGTGTGAGCTAGAGGCCGAGGACTCATCTTCCGTGAAGACGTTCGCCTCCAACAAACCTCCGACCGACTTGGCGACGGTGTCGAGGAAGATGCTGTAGTAGAACGTCACCCATGCGACCAGAAGTCGCATGAGGAATGGCACCTCGCGAGGCTGTGCCATGGTTGCTAGGAGTGGTGCATTTGGGTATTTGATGCGTGTGTTTATGTACTTGCTAGAGTAGTTGAGTACATGCCTTTGTGTGTGGGTTGGTGCAAACCTCCCGACTCAACCAAATTGCAAGTTCCTCTACTCTGGCTAGCACCAGCGCGATCTGCGCTGCTGGATGATGTGTTTAGCGCCGATGCCCGGCGGGAAAACGCTGAGGGCCGGAACCTGTACATCGCAACCAATAGAAAGCGACCACCTGGCCGTGCCCAACTGTCGCTTACAGTCGCGATACATTGGTTGTTTGTGACACAACATTTGACAAATTTACAGGCGCGACTCGGGAAAACGGGGGTTCAGACACAAGTGTCTCCACAGGAATGTACCCTTAGTTGTTACAATGCCAAGTCAAAGCACATCTGCAAGCCAACTCAAAATGATTCACCTTCACATATAATTTTATATCTGCTCGTTTGATTGTTCTCATGGCGCCCTCTGCATCCCCTCGTGTGCAACACTTACTGCGTGCTCCAATCCCATCCCATCCCATCCACCGCGATGTGAACAACGGGCAGCGTCAGCACACCACCAGGGTGGTAAAAATGTGGGTGGTAAAATAAGAAACGGATTGCACCTCACACACCCTACCCACAACGAGCCATTGTCATGCACCGCACTCTACTCAAACTCACTGCCATCCCTGGTGGTGCAAATGAGCGGCACACCATCAGCCCGCCACTCCACACGACCATCGCACAGCGCTGCCACACACACGCTAACCACCACGAGCCATCGCTATGCACCGCACCACACTCTACTCAAACTCGTTGCCATCCTTTGTTGCGCGAATGAGCGGCACGCCATCCTCCCGCCACTCCACCCGGCCGTCACACAGCGCTGCCACCACCCGCGCATACAGTTGGTGCTCCTGATAACACAGAAGGTGGGGGAGGGGGGGCGGGGGGGGTTCATACACATGGGGGAGGATGTGTGGGAGGAAGGGGAGCCTAGCCTGATGCCGCACAGCACTGCCACCACCCACACATTCAGTTGGTGCTCCTGACAGCACAGAGGGGTTGGCGACACAAGAAGGGGGGAGGAAGTGTGGCGGCAAGGACATGTTGGAGGAACGGCAGGGCAGCCTGTGAGCAGACACGTGGGGTCATGCACATGGGGGGGGAGGGGTTGGGGGTGTGGCATCAAAGACATGAGGGGGGAGGGGTTGGGGGTGTGGCATCAAAGACATGAGGGGGGAGGGGTTGGGGGTGTGGCATCAAAGACATGAGGGGGGAGAAGGGCGCATTCTGAAATCTCATAGTGCTGCCAGCGTCACCACGCACGGATAATGCCGGTTCTCCTGAGAGCAGAGGAGATGGCCATTCGTGTGAGGGGGAGTGTGTGGAGTCACGCATGTGGAGGGAGGGAGCAAGAACACACGGGAGGAAAGGGGTCTCATGACAACCTGACGCTGCACAGTGCTGTCAGCACACACACACACAGCTGGTGCTGATGTGACTTTTGAGGCGCCTTTAGAGGGATGTGTGAAAAGGAACGAGTGGTGAGGAAGGAAGGCCTCATGCATCCTGCTGTGGCGCAAACAGCATTCCCCACCAGCAGCACACGCAGCTGGCTCTTTCGAGAGAGCAGTGAAGTACAGGACGAGGGGGCGCGGTTATGTCAACAGCAAGAGTGTGAAAATTGGCACCGGAAAGAATGCCGCGGGGGGAAGATGTTGAGCGATCTGGGGGGGAAACGAGAGCTGGATAGAGAGCATGATAGAGATGATAAGAGGGGGGAGGAAGCAGGTGCGAGCATTGAGGGAGCGAGTGGAGCCATTATCAGTGCAACGACCTACTGCTGCCTGTTGCTTCACGCCACTCAGGAAAAGCGTTCTCCCCATGAGTTTTCATTTGTGGTTAGTTACTCCGTCATGTTCACACAACCCGCAGCACACGCAGAACAGCCACATTAGGTTCAGCAGGGAAGGCCCCCCCGCCCACCCACCCACGCACACACACGCTCCTGCAGGGCTGGGGGGTGGGGCGTGCAGGTGGTGGGAGCTGCACAGGCAGTACACAGACACCCACCCACGCACAGGCAGTACACAGACACCCACCCACGCACAGGCAGTACACAGACACCCACCCACGCACAGGCAGTACACAGACACCCACCCACGCACAGGCAGTACACAGACACCCACCCACGCACAGGCAGTACACAGACACCCACCCACGCACAGGCAGTACACAGACACCCACCCACGCACAGGCAGTACACAGACACCCACGCACGCACAGGCAGTACACAGACACCCACCCACGCACAGGCAGTACACAGACACCCACCCACGCACAGGCAGTACACAGACACCCACCCACGCACAGGCAGTACACAGACACCCACCCACGCACCCACCTGGGTGAGGACCCTCTCACTCACCCAACCACCCACCCACGCACACAGACACCCACCTGGGCGAGCACGCGCGCCTGCAGGGCGGGGGGGTCATCGGAGGGCAGCACGGGCACCACCGCCTGCGCTGCTATGGGGCCGTGGTCGTACCGCTCGTCCACAAAGTGAACCGTTGGGCCTGATACCCTGGCAGGGGGGTGGCGCGAGGGAGGAAAAATGAAGGAGAGTGGGTTGGTTGGAGTAGGAGGGAAGAGTGAGGGCAACACAGGCTCATCCACAAAGTGCACCGTGGGGCCTGATACCCTGTTATGGGGGGAAGGAGGGGGTTGGGGAAGGGGAGATGAGGTGAAGTGTTAACGAGAATCCCTTACCACCCACCAGGTGACGTGACCTGTACTGCACCAACCCACATCACAGCACACACCAGAACATCCCAAGCACGGCACGGCAGCCCCATGCACGCACCTGGCGCCAGACGCAATGACAGCTTTGTGCACGTGCATGCCATAGTAGCCCTTGCCACCCGCCTGGCGATGTGACTTGCACTGCACTAACCCACAGCACACGCCAGAGCATCCACAACACATCAACCCCATGCACGCACCTGGCGCCAGAGGCGATGACTGCTTTGTGCACGCGCATGCCATAGTAGCCCTTGCCTCCGAACGCAGGCAGCAGCGCGGGGTGGATGTTGAGGATGGCTCGCGGGAATGCCTCCACCAGCGAGGCGGGCAGCAGCTTTAGATACCCTGCTAGCACCACGTAGTCCACCCCGTGCTGCCTGCGCAAACAGATGGGGGTGGAAGAAGTGCAGAACGGTTGAGTGAGGAACGACCCTACCAGTGAGGCGGGCAGCAGCTTCAGATACCCCGCTAGCACTATGTACTCCACTCCGTGCTGCCTGGGCGTGGGAGGAGTGTAAAAGGTGGGGGCCAGGGAGGCAAGAGAACGGGGTGAGCTGGGGGAGAAGGGCGGAGAGGCGGGCGGCAGCTTCAGATACCCTGCTAGCACTATGTAATTCATTCCGTGCTGCCTGGGCCGTGAGGGAGAGGGGAGAGAGTTGGTGGTGGGAGCGAGAGTGGGTAAGGGTGTGAAAGGACAATCGCCAGCGAGGCCGGCAGCAGCTTCAGGTACCCCGCTAGCACTATGTAGTCCACTCTGTGCTGCCTGCACAAACAGATGGAGGTGGAAGGGGTGGGTAGAGGTAGAGTGAGAAACGCTCCCACCAGGGCAGCGGGGAGCAGCTTCAGATACCCCGCTAGGACCATGTACTCCACTCTGTGCTGCCTGGGAGTGGGAGGAGTGGAAAGGGTGCGGGCCAGGGAGGCAAGAGAACGGGGTGAGCTGGGGGAGAAGGGCGGAGAGGCGGGCGGCAGCTTCAGATACCCGCTAGCACTATGTAGTCCACCCCGTGCTGCCTGGGTAAACAGATGGGATTGAAAGGGGTGGGTAGGGGTAGGGGTAGCGGTAGAGTGAGAAACGCTCCCACCAGGGCAGCGGGCGGCAGCTTCAGATACCCCGCTAGCACTATGTTGTGCATCCCGTGCTGTTTTGAGACGTCTCAAAACACGCTTACTCTCCCGCGGATTTTATATGGAGAAATTGTTTGTTGCTTGGAAAACAGGTTGTAACTTGCAAAAGTTACTTGTTCGTGCGAGGCTTCCGAAACACCAGCTGGCGAGTTGTGATTCAACAACGTTACGCCTCGAGGAGTGAAGACCTCAGCCCCTCAGTTTTTTCCAGGGTGTTGTGGATTGGCTGCCCAGATTTCAGCCACGGTTGTACCCAACCTCGATTGTTTCTTGATGGGTAGTTCTTGCTTAAGGGTTGCTCTTTCTGCTCTAGTTTCTTGTTCCGCTAGCACTGATGAAGGATTGACGGGGGTCTGTCCCAGTCGTCCGAAACATGTTTGCGTTTTAATCGTTGTAGTGGACTTAGAGCTCAGTTTCGATCTTGTTTTTTGAACTGGCAACACAAGAGTTTTAAACTCTACTGTTTTTCTTCTGCTAAAGAATTCTCCTAAGCTGCAGCTCGCCTAGTCTCATGGCTGAAGGTACTTGGGGTCTCCCAAATTCTACGGGTGACGCCGGCTTAGGAAATTCGAGTTTCGCACTAGTTCCCCGTGAAGCAGGCCCATTCCCGAAAACTTACGCGGGTTACAAACGTTCTCGCAACGCTGACGGAATCGCTGGCGCATCTGCACCAATTCACGAGGACAACGAGCATAACAAGCAGACAGGAAATTCTCCCGACGCTGCCGACATGGATTCTCTGAACGACGAGGATGTCAACATGGCTCCCGTCAACCCGTCAGCTGCCACTAACACGTCCGTCACGATTCCGGAGCTTTTAAAAGGCTGGACGACGGCTGCTGTCAAGGGCTTCAGAGAGGATTTTAAGGCGCTCCTTAAGGCGAAGTCCAAACTGAAGAAGATGAAGACGCTAAACGGCCAAGGTGTGATCTTACACAGCATCCGCACCAAGGTCGTGGAGTTCCAGACGAAGTACCCGGTTACTCGGGAGAAATCTGCCGCGTCCGTCGCCTCGGTTCATCTCGAGAACCAGAAGCGCATTCAGGAGGATTTCATCAAGTCTAAGGAGTTGGTGGTTGAGGAAATCCTGGCGGCGTCCTCCTCACATCTCACCACTCTGGCAACTAAGCTCGAAGACTACATCAAAAGCTTGACTGCGGATCCGGATCTAACCGTATCTGATGCGGCTAGAGAAAAATTCCGGAAAATCAAAGGGATCTGCATCGAGAAAGCCAAGTCAGAGATTGCTGCAGCCAAAGATGATATCATCATCAAGGAGCTGGAGAGACAGAGGATCAGGGACGCTGAAGATTTGAAGAAAGCAGCCGCTGCCGAAGAGATGGAGCACCTGGAAACGGACCCGACGATCAACGAGCTTGTTCGAAAAGCTACTCAGGATTACGCGGAGACGATGCGCAAGGAGATTACGGCGAGCGTCGAAGCGAAGCTTACTGCCAAGTTTAAGAAGAGCTTGTCGATGGGATCGCAGGATTCCAAGTCGGCCCCCGCAGCAGCGAAGCCCAAGGCGGACCCGTCAAAGAGCCAGACGAACACTGGCTCCAAGGCAGATGTACCGAAGGCTACGCGGCGTCGCGGGAAAGGAAAGAAGAAAGCGAAGTCTTCAGGCGGCGACGGAGGGAAGGGCCAACAAACTTCCTCAACTACGGCCCAGGTTCCAAAAAACGGCGGCGGCGGCCCAGGAAAAGGGCCGCGCAAGAACTAACACCTCGGGACCTCGCGCTCCGCTGGTTCGGGAAGCTAACTCTACGACAGGCGCAGTCACGCATTCTGAACCGGGGAGTACACAACCTGAGCGCTAAGGTTTTGTCTCGCGACGAGACCAAAACGCTCGGGATGGGACTGAAGCTCATACCAACGCCAGCCTGGAACTTTTCCATCGAAGCAGATTTGCATCAGCTGCATCGACAGATCTCCCTCGACTTTTTCTTCAAGGGGAAAGGACCATCAGCTTCATCACGTTTCCGGGTGAAGAATCCTAATTGGTGGCCCGATCGGGACGAGGTCCCGGAGCAAGTCTTCAAGGAGGCGCGAGCCGACCTTTCTTTCCTGCTGAAGACGTGTAAGCCGCTGCGTGGACAGAACCTTTCACGGAGTGTACGTGCGGCTATACGTTCCCTATCGCTCGACAGCAGCATCGTCATCAAGCCAGCTGACAAGAATATAGGAGTTACCGTGATGGATCGAGCACACTACGTCGCGATGTGCATGGAACACCTGAACGACGCGGATGTCTACAGACCGGTTCGTCACGACCCGACTCCTCGAGTTCTGCAGCAGCTGAGTGAGCTGAAGGCGACATGGGGGCCTGCTTTCCCAGACAGTATTTGGAAATTTCTGTTTGACAAACCGCCAGGAGGGTGGCACCCAGCGGCGTTCTACATCCTGCCTAAACTCCATAAGAAGTTACCCGTGGGACGTCCGATTGCAGCTTCTCATTCATGGGTGACGACTAATGCGAGTCGATGGCTGGATGCGCAACTCAGACCGCTAGTTTTAAAACGAGCTACCTACCTGCGCGACTCTCTCGCACTGCTAGCGAAGCTGGAGACAACGGCCTTCCCGCCTCATATCCTCCTAGCTACCTACGATGTTACCTCGCTCTACCCCAGCATATCCATCGACCGAGGACTCGAAGCAGTTAGCAGTTTCTTGACGAGAGAAAACCCGCAGCTCGCTCAACCGCTCATGGCCCTTCTGGGTTGGGTTATGAGAAATTCCTTTGTGGAATTTGACGACCGGATGTACCACCAAGTGCAGGGGACCGCGATGGGAACTCCTGTCGCCGTTTGCTTCGCCATCCTGTTCATGAGTCGTCTCGATGAGCTGCTGAAGGAGAGATGGACCGGGGTGTCACCTTGTTACCACGTCCGATATATTGACGATGGCCTTATCATTTGGCCAGGCGCGCAGTCTGATTTGGAGGAGTACCTGCGCACCTTCAACGGCTTGGATCCGAACATTCGGATCACGTGGAACATCTCGGAACGTTCCGTGGATTTTCTGGATGTGGTTCTTCACAAAGGGCCTCGTTTCCACGAACGTGGTTTCCTAGACCTCAGTACTTACCAGAAACCGATGAATAGGTACCTATATCTCCCCTTCTCCTCCTTCCACCCGCGGCACTGTAAAGAGGGGTTCATCCGCGCCGAACTGCAGCGCTACTTGCTACGCTCGACCTCGGCGACGGCCTTCCGAACGACGAAGGTCGCTTTCTTCCAGCGACTTCGTGCCCGCGGTTACCCGCCAGTCTTCCTACGACCGATCTTCAACGGCGTCCATTTCGCACAACGTGCGACTCTTCTCACCAGCACCCTCGCTAACCAGTTACAACGACGAACATCTCCTCCTACACGCGGGCCCCTAGTCTTGAAGACGACCTACACACCTGTGTCGGCTCGACTCGGGCTAGGGGTAGTTTTGAGACGTCTCAAAACACGCTTACTCTCCCGCGGATTTTATATGGAGAAATTGTTTGTTGCTTGGAAAACAGGTTGTAACTTGCAAAAGTTACTTGTTCGTGCGAGGCTTCCGAAACACCAGCTGGCGAGTTGTGATTCAACAACGTTACGCCTCGAGGAGTGAAGACCTCAGCCCCTCGGTTTTTTCCAGGGTGTTATGGATTGGCTGCCCAGATTTCAGCCACGGTTGTGCCCAACCTCGATTGTTTCTTGATGGGTAGTTCTTGCTTAAGGGTTGCTCTTTCTGCTCTAGTTTTTTGTTCCGCTAGCACTGATGAAGGATTGACGGGGGTCTGTCCCAGTCGTCCGAAACATGTTTGCGTTTTAATCGTTGTAGTGGACTTAGAGCTCAGTTTCGATCTTGTTTTTTGAACTGGCAACACAAGAGTTTTAAACTCTACTGTTTTTCTTCTGCTAAAGAATTCTCCTAAGCTGCAGCTCGCCTAGTCTCATGGCTAGCGGTAGAGTGAGAAACGCTCCCACCAGGGCAGCGGGCGGCAGCTTCAGATACCCCGCTAGCACTATGTTGTGCATCCCGTGCTGCCTGCGCCGTGGGGGAGTTGGGGAAGGGATGGGTGTGAACGAGGGGGGAATGGGGAGAGGAGGGTCCTTCATGAACGGGTGTGGCAGCAGCCTCCACCAGCGAGGCCGGCAGCAGCTTCAGGTACCCTGCTAGCACTATGTAGTCCACTGCGTGCTGCCTGGGTAAACAGATGGGATTGAAAGGGGTGGGTAGGGGTAGGGGTTGAGTGAGAACGCCTTTACCAGCGAGGCGGGCAGCAGCTTCAGGTGACCCCCAGCACCACGTAGTGCTGCTGCCTGGGCCGTGAAGTGAGTGGGGGATAGTGGGTTGGGGAGGGGAATGGGTGTGGCGGTGAGCAGCTGGGTGGTGGCAGCAGATTTATCAGGCAGCTGGGGGAGGGGCTGTGCGGCCACGAGTGCGAGAAAGCGAAACAGGGAGTGGCAATGGCAAGGCAAGCACGAGTCGAATCCCGTGCTGGTAGGAACGCAGAGACTGACCGCATGGCGGCCAGCACCTCGTCAGGCGAGAGGCCGATTTGTTCGCTGGGCGGCAGCTTGGCGTTGACGGGGAAGGCGAGCGTGGGGATGCCGCTGGCGCGCGCGTACTGCCATCCCCCGCACTCTTCGCCCCCAGACAAGCACACAGCGACCTCCCCACGTCGTCCGTGATGGCGGGGGTGAGGGGCGAGGGGCGAGGGGCGAGGGGCGAGGGGCGAGGGGCGAGGGGCGAGGGGCGAGGGGAGGAGGAGAGGGGAGGGGAGGGTGGGAGGGAGGGAGGGAGGGTGGGAGGGAGGGAGGGTGGGAGGGAGGGAGAGAGCACATCGAGCGGAGTCAGGCAGTCAACGCAATCAGCATGGTTGATAAGGTAAGGTCAAGCAGGTATAAAGTCACATCGCGTGCTGTTCCACCAGCACTTGGGGAACCGAATAGTTTCCTGTATAAACTCCCATCGAGGCTAACCATACGCGTTATGTGCTGACCTGGTTTATCGCTAACGACCACCACCACGTCGCCGTTCACGCGTCCGTCAGCGCACGCCGCGTGGATCGCTTTGAAGTTCGAACCGCCGCCCGACACGAACACCGCCAGCCGCGCCCGCCGCCGATCTGACGGTTGAGCGGCGTCTGCGGCGGCGGCATCGCCGGGGGTGGCGCGCGCTGAGTCGGTTGAGGAAGCATCCGCCCGCGCGACGAGCCGCGCGGAAGCGAGTATTCGCGGCTCGCACGACCGTTGCGCGACGGCTTGGAGTGATACGGATTGAGATCGAGAAGCGCCGAGTGGCGTGGATGACGGTAGGGCGCTCGTGGATATGCGCGCGTGTGAGAGGGCTGTGCAGTGGTGAGTAGTGGAAGCCTTGCCTGAACGAAAATTGCGGCCTGATAGTCGAGAAGAGTCAAAATGCATGGTTGAAACGTGCGCAGCCATGGCTGACCAGATGGATAAAATGCGAATGGGGACTCGACCGATTGCGTTGTGCGCAAAATCAGCATTCATTAGATAAAAAGGCAGGGAATCTGGGGATAAGGAGCGTGGGTTGAGAATGGGAGTGAGGTAATTCGGGGTTCGCGAGATTGGTGCAGCAGTTGCGAAATTAATCTGCGAAACGAAGTGCTCTAGATGATTGTTACGTGTGAACTAGAATCACACTACCGTCATACCCATATATAGGAGCTGCTGCTCTCATAACAAAGTCTTATAGCTGCTGATTTTATATGTAGCGTGCTCCGTGGCATCTTCTTCATGTTGTTTTTTTTGTTTGTGATTTTTATAACGGTTTTCACGGCTGGTTGTTTTCACCCCAGAGGCCTTGTGTTGTGCTATTTGTGATGTGTCAATATTTTTAATATAAAAGGCGCTCAGATCATTCAATCACGAGGATAGAATCGGGCGGCTTGTCGGTGATGGTGATAGTGGCGTGTGCTGCGGGGAAGTCCACGCAATACACTAATTAGCCACGTCGACGCAGACGACGTACGTTGAAACTAGTGGAACGCGACCAAATGCAGAAGGGCAAGTCGGTCGGCCACCTCGCACGAAAGAAATGTGACGTCATACAATCCACGCATGTCTGATCACGCGCCAAGTGGATGTTTCATTCCGCGAAGACTCTTCTGGAAAGCGAAGCGCGCCAAAGCGAGGCTGGACTCGGTGCACCAAAGAAGACATGGGTGCGGGCTGGTCACAATGATCGGTTTGAAGGTGTGAGGAATGGTGGTTATGCTGGAAAATAATGGTTCGGTGACTTGACGACGAAACGCATATTTGGTGAAATCGCGTCTCGGGTCAGGACTCAGGAGTCACTTGTTACTCACCTTTCTCTCTCCCTTCCGCACCAGCTTCGACCGCACTCACATCCCACCCAACACCCAAGGGACCCATAATGCATATTTGGCGGCCAGATAATCAGCATTACTCATCGAGCTATCTCCAGCATCAATCAGCTCAAACACACCACCTCCAGCATCTTCGCCTTTCGCGTCCATCTCGCCTCGCTTTCATCATCATGGCCCGGCTTTCCTTTTTCGCGACGTCGCTCGCCGTTATGATCCTCGCCATGACTAGCAGTGCATCGGCGGCGCGACACTACGCTGGCACGGCTGCCGTTACATCTCGGAAAAGGGAAGTGCGGAAAACAACTCAAAAGTAACAAAACCGCAACTCTAGGGTTACTACGAAAACGCAGGAAAAAGGTCAAGGTTCAAAACAGTGGGAGCACTAGTTACTACATGAGCAACTTCTGCGTCACTTTTCGGGCAGTTTCTGTATACTGCAAAGTTGGAAACCAGAATATGTATGCGGTTACTGGCAGCAACCTCACAGTCACGAGTAAGGATACTCCACAATCAACGTGTCAGTCACATTCCGTCATCACCCCAAAGCTTCGGAAACGCAGCCGAATAGCCCACCTCCGTATGGCAACGCCACGTGGCGAACCAGTTCAACTCTCGCAGCCACGCAAGCGAATACACCCCCAAGCGAACGGCTACGCACGCCCTCCGATCTGAGAGCCTAAACTGCAATCCTGACTCTACAAATGTCGCATAACAACCCTCTCGCACTTTGGGTTACACCTTCGCGCGCCACATATCGCCAACCTCGCCACCATCACATCCACGCATCACATCCACGCATCTCTACCCCTTCTACGCAGCCCCTACATGACACGTGGCGTCAACGGCTACCACACTGAAAGCGCCAAGAATCACGTGTAAACAGCAACCCGGGTTCTACAAGTGTCGCGTCACCATAAACTCGCACAATGAGTTACTCATTCGCGACCTTCACATCGCCATGGTCGCTAACATCTCCTTCATACATCCCATCCGTCCAACACTGCACACAGGATGCAGTACCCTACAGACACGTTGCGGAAACCGTTACCGTACACGTGTCACCTGCACCAAATCCTACAACCAACCCGCATGCGCCAACAACCACAATTCAAACGCATGTCGACCGCCTATTCTTCGCACCATCGGGCCACATCATCGCGGCATGTGTCGCAATCACATTTCATCGTGCAATGCGTAACGTGTATTCGACACCAGTTCGCAAACATCGCATCCAGAATCACGACATCTCCAGAACCGACCACATTTGCGCACGTCCACCCAATCACTACAAGCCACAACCGCATACCCGGGACCACTAACATCAAGCCGCCGTCCCCTACATAAGCCATACCGTGCCCGACAAATGGCCCTCCCGCGAGCAACTTTGCCAACCTATCACACGACTCTAAAAGCAAACTAGCTCGTGACGTCGTCCACATTTCCAGTGGATCTGATATTTTTTAAACGGCCACCAATGCGTTTCCAAGGTTCTGGCTGAGCGGCCTTCCAACCGTATGTCGCGGCGTTTGTCACGCCGCGACGTGCGGCGCGCTCTGACTGACCACGACATTTCCCAAAACCAGGCACCGTCCACCGCAACAACCATTATTCATGTCTGATTTCCGTTTCAAACCAATAAGACAAAAAAACGCATACCAACATAAACAAACCCATTATATAGTACAAGAAACCGCATACCGCAACCCAGAGTGGAATTCACGACATCCTAACCAGCTACACCCCGCACACGAGCAGAACACAAACATCAGTGGCCACCCAGACCCTTACTAGCACCCGTCTGGTAAAATATGCGATTCATCCCTGATCCTACTCATCTCCAAAAGACACGGAAACCTCATCGTCCCCCCCGAGATCCTCAGCCTGGGATCCACCCGCCGGCCTCATCCCTTCGAGCCCGCTAACCGAAAGAAGCATGCCATGGCGGCCCCAAATCCATGCGTGACGCTCAGCATCCCATTCGGGATTGAAAACACCGATGGCCCTCTCAACCGCTCCTTTGGCGAGAACCTTGAGGCCATTGACAACGTGGCCGTTGCCACCAGCTGAGTTGGAGAGGCGGCCTTTCCGCTCCTCCCAATACATGACGCTGTCCGTGACCTGCATCAACCATGAGTCCACTTCAGCCGGCCCCACATGTAATAAAACCACGACCACAACCAAACCAACAAACTCACCACGTGCTCGAGCCAAGCCAAGTGGTACACGTTCAGCATGAGAGGAACTCCTGGCTTTTTCGGCTTGAAGGCGGCCTTGGCGCACGCGACAAATGCAGCAGATGCAAACGGCATGCCCTGGCGATCGTTGCTCCAATTTGAAAGGGCAAGAGTTTCTGCACACCCGCCGATACATCGAACAACAACACGGGCTGGCAGTCAGTGACAACCCGACAGCTCTCACCACACAGCAAGGATCCGTAACCCACCTTCGCCCTCGCGCGCCAGCCCGATGCGGGACCTGATCTTCTCGGCGCTGCGCGCCTTCTCCGGGGCCCATGGGCTCGCAGCATCTCGCTCGTCCCGGAACAACCCGAGCTTGGGAAGCGCGATATCCCTTACTCTCGCTGCAGCGCGGGTCTTCCACTCGCTCAAAGTCTTGTTCAAATCAGCCCGACGTGACTTGTCTGCAGCCAAAGCCAGACATGCGTAGCTGTAGGGCAGACGGTCCAGAACCGCACACACTCCGTCGGTTTTGTCGTCGCTACTCGGGTAGAACGTCATGGTACAGTACGGCTTGCTCAGAAACAGGTAGACCCTCACGAGGTCGCACATACGCTGCACATGACATGTAAAAGTACCAAAACCCCTTAGTGACGACGTACACGAACATCAAGTCCCACACTGCACAACATCACATACATTGCACAATATAAACATAAAACAAAGCTGCGCATGCCATAAAAACCATGACCGTAACCATGCGCCACGCACGCCTCACCTTCCACGCCTTGTCTGCAGGGAGCAGATCCAGTGCGCTTTGCAGCACAGGCGACCGCGATGACCTCATATGGCGCCGGCGCGAATCATCACTCTCGTCGTCCTCGTCGCCATCGGAAGCGGCACTGCGCGCTTCCACGCGCCGACGTTTCGGGTTGGCACACCCGAGTCCAGGATCTCGCTGCTTCTCCGCTTTCTGACGCCGAGACCCTACATGACCGGTTGCCAAGGCTTTCAGCAACATTTCTTCCAGGCGAGCCACGGTCTTGGCGTTGTCATCCTGCGCCCGCTTGAGACTATCAAACACGGCCCGCGACACGGTCACCTCCTCGGTCGGGTTTCTGGATCCCTCGGGGGATGCACGGAAAGCGACCAGCGGGTCATCTTCCTCAACTTCCGCCGGCTTATCATTGCCCTCCTTCAAAGTATTGGGCGCCCCGGATAGCACATGGTCGACGGTCTTGGTTTTGGCCTGGCCCTCATCGCTCTCTCCCTTGCTCACCGTCTCTGCCGATTCGGATTCTTCGGCGTCAGAACTGTCGTGCGGTTGTGTCGCCTCTGTCGTCTCCAACCCCTCGGATTCCTCTGATATGAATACACCAACATAACATGAAACTGAGCGACAATTCACACACCGTCTCTCACACAACGAAACGAGGTATGCGGTTTCACATCAGTGACCAAACAACCGCAACAAACTAAACGCATAATAGAAAGAAACACCACATACCTTCTTCTTCCACAGAAGTAGCGACCTTCTTCAACCTTGGAAAGTTCAACTTCTTCGGGATATTAGAAACTCGGGGACCCCTTGTACCACGACCCCGAGGCACCGCCAGTTGATAAGACGCCCGCAGATACGCTGGCGCCTTAGTCTTCCTCCGGGATCTCCCAGCCGTTTGGGTGTTTTGGGAGGCAATGGAGTTTTCCATCTTGAAAACGTTAATGGCAGAAGTGAATGAAGAGCTACTACGGTAAGGACCTTATCTACATCCACGGTGTGCCAGTATCCAGTTTGCGAAATGCAGAAAACACCTTTGGTATTCGGTAAACACACCGCCTTCAGGATTTCCGCAATCCAAACCACCAATGATAACACGCTACGTCAGACGTCGTAGACAATCAACGAGAACTACCAACACTTAATCACAACCGTGCAAGATGGCGCGTTAACACTTATCGTGTGTTCGTAACGGAAATCGCATACCACATTGTTCAAGTCATATGCATTTACGGTTGCACAATAACACAGGACGGAGTGGTGTTGAAAAAAAAACTTGCCCAAAATCCGCATGCAAACAGCAAAACAAAATCTAAACAAAACAAAATCGCTACTGCATTCAAAGAATTTGAGAAATATCCGGGTTTACAGCACCAGCAAGTCCGCTAACCACCACTACTGAGATCCATCTTCATCACCACCCTCCTCACCAACGTACTCCTCATCCCCCTCATCACCCTCATCCCCCTCATCCCCCTCTTCGTTCTCATCCTCCCCCCCATCATCCTCTTTGACCTGCAACATCACTCCCCGTCGCTTCAACACCCCCGCCACCAGCCACCTTGCCGTCCACTCTCCTCTTCTTGCCCCGTGTGTTAGCTGACGGGGCCTTCCTTTGGCGTCTCTTTTTGGAATCAAGTTCCTGCACCACCTGGCGCCACTTCTTCCACCGCCACCACATGCGCGCACCCACGAGCTTTACCACCGCATCCTTGTCGCAGCCCTCCAGCAACGCCTTCTGTGCATCTGTCAGGGGGATGGTATTCTCTATCTCCTCACCGTGTCGCAGCACATGAGCAGCTGCCGCAAACGCCACAGCGGCCTCTTTGGGGGTCGTGTAAGCGCCAAGCCGATGCTGCCGCCGTTTATCCCCATCCCACGACAATATCTTTGCCCCCCACTTTCCAGTAGCCTTCTCGATGGTAACCCCGGTGTAAGTCGCCGTCTCCAGGTCCTCGTCAACGCCTCCCTCTCCTGCTTTCACGCCCTGCGCAGCTGCCGCTTTGCTGGGTTGTCCGGCCTCGGTGCCCCATTGTGCACTGGGAATGCCTTGCACGGACGAGGTATGCTGACGGGATACCACCCAGTGTGGTATTGTACCGGGATGCGGAAGTGGTGCCGAGGACACAGGCATCTGCACTCCAACCCCCATGAACTTAGCAGCAAGCGACACCCGCGTATCTGTGCCATTAATGGCCTCGTCAGGACTCTCCTTACCGAGCCCGACGATTCTGGGATTGCGAAGAGGCGTAGTGGGCGCATGGTTAATGCGTCTGCTCACCGGGATGCTAATACCGTCAGCGCCTCGGGCTTGAATGCGTTGCACCGCGCCAGCTCGCACCTGCTCCGGTGTGTATCCCAACGCATGCGCCAGGAACGCCACTTCCGCTTCAAGTATGGCCATCTCGCGCTTCGACGAACGCTGTTCTGCATGCAGCTGCTCGAACCGTTCGGGACAGTCACCGTGCTGAGGATGCGGGGGAGCACGGTCACCAGTCAGTGAGGGCCGCTCCTGCAACGGGATCTCGATGTTGTCTGCTGCCAACCTTGGCAGAAGGGCGCCTGCTGCGTGCTCACAGATGTCCGCGCGCATGCCGCGCCTGTACTTCAGCGAACTCACACCTTAGAACCAGAGGCCAGTGCATACGGTCCGGAAACTCGTTTCCACAAGGGTCTTAAGATAGTGGCAAACGAAAATGCCACAGTCGTGCGAGTTTGGCTGTTGTGGACAGTGCTCCTCCTGCACAAAACACAACACGACGCACATCCCATTACATTGATTCGGATTAAGAAGCTTAAAATACCAGCGGTCAATATGCTCATCAAAACTCACCCCCAGCACGATGCACTTGGCATCCAGGAGGACCTGGTCCTTATGTGTGAAATCCGCCGTCGGATGGGTGTCTTGGGCCAACACGGAGACCACCCTGGCCAACGCAATTGCGGTAAATTAGGCAACCGTTGTAAAAAACAGGGTGCGCGGAGAGTTATACAAGCAACTTACAGTTTACATCCGCTGAAAATGGCAGCCGCGTCAGTTTGGGATAGTGCGCTGTCGTACAGCACCATGACGAGGCGGTTCTCATCCCCTGACGTCGCGGGTTCGAAGATCTTAGAGGGCTCACACACGATGACCAAGGAGTAGTGATTACTGCATTAGGAACACGACGGTACAGTCAAACATGGGTTTGGTCACTACTCAGACTACCTTCGTTGAGGGTGAATAACAATATTCGGGTGAGAGACCATACGAATCATTAACTTACTTCAGGAACACTGGAATCGCCAGGAAGTCGTGCTCCAATAGCGGTAAGCCTTCTCCAGAAGCTAAAGCCTTGCCGTGAGCCCTGGTATATGTGAACGCCTTGGCGTCAAGTGCCGCCCATGTCTTCCCATCGGGTAGAACAGGCTGACGGATGCTCAGCAATCTGCAGCAAACGGCAAGGCAGCAGAGACAGGAACACCCGCAGGGTTTAGGCATATCCATGAGACGAGGAGAGACTATGAGGGACATTCACTATCGGGCACTCACGTGTTGTGAAAGTCGATGAGTGCATCTGACACCCATTTTGCGTCGGCAATGGTAACCACATCCGCCTTCTTCACAACTGAGGCGAGGCGACGCTTGTTGTAGAGTTCCAGGTCCGGGAAGTCAACGGATTTCTTGCCCTGCCCGAGCTGCGCTATCACGTCCGCAGGCTCAGGCAACTCCTCCTTCATCCGAATCGGGGTCTCAAATTTCTTAAGACTCTCTGCCTGCAACGTTGACGCGCGACTGCTACGGGTCTCACGCACATCGTCGGTCGATCTAGTACGTGCCTGCCCACCCGCGCCCTTACCATTTTTTCTCGTCAGCTGCTTTGCAAGTGCCATGTCTGCGCGGCCTGTTACATGTGCGGTCAACGCGTGCTTGAGGCGTAAACTGCAGACAGGAATGTCTTACTAATCCAGCTGCGATGGCGCAGCAGACTGGGTATGACGGGGAATCTACTCCACTAATAAAACCCTAAGATCTACTTGCCATAGAACCCTAGTATTGAAAACGATCATCGAAGAGATGGCTGTTGTGGGAAAATGGTCATGTCACGCTTGTCAGTTTTGCGAAGTGGTTGATCGCTTACGTGTGTAACATCTGTCCGCGTGGTGCAAGAGTTTTTTTCGTTTGTGATGTCATTGGTCGAGGTGTCCGAGTTGCGGTGATCAATGGTTGTATGAAATTGTCGAAGTTGGTGCACCAATCTGGCCATCCATTTGTGTACCGATCGGGTGCTTCAATCCAGAACATGCGATCAGTTGGCGCGCAACTGCAGTGACGCAAAACCTTTATACGCGTTGTACAACGAAACGTCAAAACTAGAGCGCAAAGGAAATTCGCTCGTGTTCGAATAGCCAAATGCAGAAACTCGTAATCGTTAAGGATGGGTATGGGAAACCATGCACTTAAGTCAAAGGCGCGCGAAAGTCTAAAACGCGTATCGCGACCGTACAAAATGCCCTTACTGTCAACGTGGCAACCTAGACGACCAGTAATTGATGGACTTCAAACTCTCATAACGCGCCGTTGTGGTCCTAAGTGAAGCACGAACCTTATCGCGTTTGGTATGCGGAAACCCCAAGTATTTTGCCCACAACCCATTGGTGTTTGGATGGGCGCAATCCCGACGACCAATTGGCGAAGACAAATGAAAATGTACTGGGCAAAAACTGTCTACCAACACGGGTTGAAGCAATGGAAACCGAATACCTGAAACTGGTACAAGCACTACCTTTCCCAGAGAAGCTCGTTTAGTGTTTGATTTTTTCATCATGACTGGCAATAGATGCGGTGCCTGCCGCACTGTTTTTAAAGACGACAACGCGTTGCAGTCTCATCTCTCCAAGAAAGGGATATGCGCCAAAAAGTTGAAAAAAAACCTCGAGGCGCTTCTATTAGACGCGTACCTTCACGCCAGGGATTGTTATGGCGAGCGCAAGCAGAGCAGTCCGCCTCGTTCTAGGGCGAGGCGTGATTCCACGCCCACCAGCGACGCTCCTCCCCAAACTGAAGAATGCAACGATCCGGCAACAGACATAGTAGCGAGCGATGACGTTTCCACATGTTCGGAGGTTTCAGACGATGATGAGGTGTTTGATACTCTCACGGAGCTGTATCTGTTCTTCCGGGACGCTGATCTGTCACGAAGGGAGGTTAATCGTCTGCTCAACATTTTCAGAAACCCGAGGTTCAACCTACGGGCCCTCCGCAGATGGCGCAACTTTGTGGATGTAAGGCGTTGGGGTAAGGCCCATGCTCCACCGGACATGGTGCCTTGGAAAACTGACGAGATTGTTGTGTTCGGGCCCAAAGGAGTACAACAGAAGCTGCTGCTTTATTATCGTGATACAGAGATGGTATGTTGTACAGGCATATGTCCCAACAGCATTGATTCATGGTGTTATCTTGGATTTACGCGATGTCGTGCATGTTCCCACACATTACGTGCAGATTGTGAAGAAACTAGTACGCACCTTTGTGGCGAAGGAGGGGTTTATCACGAAACCAACGCGAATCAACTGCGAGAAAACCAACCAGCGGATCTACCAAGGACCAGAAACGGGGGAGTGGATGCATGCAGCGCAGGTATGCGGTTTTTTATCTGCTGCAAACCTTTATACGTGTCAAGGCAACATTAAAGTGGTATCCAGTGCTAACATTGCTCTGTTGTTACGCACAGCGCGAGGTGAACGACGACAATGCATTGATATTGGGCGTCATCGTGTACAGCGACAGCACCCAGGCGTCAGGGAATGGAAGGCGGAATGCATGGCCAGTGCTGATTACTCTCGTGAACATCCCAGAAGAGCTGCGGTGGCTAGAACCTGGGCACACACTAGCGGGGGTGTTGCCGTTTCCACCTGAATGGGCGTCATCCACTGAGAAAACGCGTGTCTTCCAGGAGGCAATGAAGATAATTCTCGCGCCTCTTATGAGGGAGTCTGCATGGTATGTTGTTTTTGTCTAAAAAAGCACGCACGGTGCATGATTACTTACCGCATACCCAACTGAACTTTGCGTACCGACTGTTCCGTGTACCACATACTTCTCTTAGGAAACTCGCCTTATGGTTCTCGCTTTGTGGTCCGTGTGCAGCGCTCCGATGAGGTTCTTTTATGTTTCAGACGCATCGGGTGCCGCCATAAAAGCCATCTCATGCCTTTTCGGAATACCGGGCGACTTTCCAGAGTCATGCAGAGCGTCTGCCACTCTTCAGCAGGGCACTCATCGGCCTTGTACCACATGTTACGCCAAGGAGGGTGAACTTACTCGCCTGGTTGGCGCTACAGATCCAAGGACACCGCACAAGCAGCAAGTGATTGTTCGGAATATTCTGGCATGTCAGAAGAAAAAAGACGCCAAGAAGATCAGGAGTGCGTGGTCAACACATCCCAACGAGGTGTGTGAGCCGCATGCTTATGGGAAAGTGTTTGGTGATGCACCCTGAAGATTTACGATTGCCTCTTGACTTGTATGTTGCCTGTGTTCTCAGTGTGTCCTTCAAAGATGGAATTTCGCGGACACCGAGTGGGGGAACGTGTACTTGGCATGCCTCGCTGACACGTTGCACGTTCTGGACTCTGGGGTGTTCATCCACATGATGGATGCGTTTCTGTCTACCCTTGGCAAGGCAGAAATGCGCGTGTTGGAGAGGTGAGAGTATTTGTTCTGAGGCGCGCTGTCATTGCTGTTCATGATCTGATAACGATTGTCTAGGGAATTTTGTTGATATCGGGTGTTGCCGTAACCTCTAAAACGCAGGCGCAAGAAGGGGGTCAAACGAGACACACCGAGCGTTCTTCTTCGTATACCGGGGGGGAACTCGTTTTTCCGATCTGGTGCAAACTACGCGGCATTCGAGCACCGGAGCATGATGCAAATCGTGCCAATATTGATAGCGGATTTGAGTGCTACCAAGAGTGACGAGGCCGGGGTGTCAGACTTATATGATATAGCCTGTGTAGGCTGTAGCGGGTTAGATACTAAGGGGTACACAATTCTAGGGTTTCATATTTGTATCACACTCATTCCTTAGTCAATCATTCCTCATTTCTTCACATGGTATAGAGCAGGTTCCCTAGTGGGAACGCTTCCTAGGGCCCACCACTGAAAATCGAAAACTTTTTTTTCTGCCCGGAGCGCGAGTCGCCCCTGCCCGAGGCGCGCCCCTTGGGCCGCCCTCTCGTTGCGTCCCCTGCCCTTAGCGGCCCGTCGCGCCCTCCTAGAGGCCCCTCTCACGGCCCCTCGCGCCACCCCTAGCGGCCCCGTCGCCACCCTTCGCGGCCCGTCGCCGCCCCTCGCGGCCCCGTCGCCGCCCCTAGCGGCCCCGTCGCCGCCCTTCGAGGCCCCTTGCGGCCCCTTCTCGGCCCCGTCGCCGCCCTTCGTGGCCCCGTCGCCACCCTTCCCGGCCCCTTCTCGGCTCCTCCGCCACCAGCAGCAGCAGCCGCCAGCAGCAGCCGCTGCCGCCGCCAGCAGCAGCCGACTGCAGCGGACGCCGCTGACAGCAACGGCGGCCGCCACCAGCAGCAGCCGTCGCCGCCGACAGCCACGACTGTCGC